ACGTTGAAGTCCTATTGACTTTGCTTGGTACCGCGTGTGCGTGTGCGTCAAACTAGGAGAAACAACATATTGTATGGGCGATTCCCTTTGGTTGCAAGCCCAACAAGGGGGTCAAAACCACCAGACTGGTAGACTGAGGCAAGTGCTGATGACCAGGATGATCTACATCCTTCCGCGCCCTGGCTGAACTTGCCAGTGCCGAGCCGCCGGGTGTTCAGCTGGCCCGTTCCACTGCCTATGGAAATAGCCGCGCGGCTGGTGCTCGAAGCACGCAGTTTGCATTTTGAAGATTCGCAAGAAACACGGCTGTGGCTGACTTCGCCGGCATTCTGGTTGGCTCAAACCTGCCTGTTGCTTTTTTGCCATTGAATAAAAGTCTTGGCGGTTGAAGTTGGACAGCTTTGCCTGGGCATTCGACAACATGTGGCTGACACCCTTTCTGCTCATGATGCTTGTGGGAGCCGTAGTGGGGTATTGATTTGGCCGTCGGGGGAGCTTTTTTTGGCGCACCAGTGGGGTATCGATTTGGCATACCGGGGAGTTCACGATTTAACCAGTGGATGCACAGGAAGCGTGCCCCGCGTTCATTTAAGGCCCCCCGGAAAAGGCCTGTGCGATGCGGAGATTGGAGCATCTCCCGGACCTCCGCCATGTGGATCCCGGACCTCCGCCGTGTGGATCCCGTTGCAGCTGCCTGCGGGTTTCGCTGCCCCTCCTCCGAGTCACAGGACTCGCCGGACTCGCAGAGCGAGTTCCGCACCGCGGCCGAGAGGTCGTTGCATAGGCGGCCGGTCCTTTCAAAAGCGGCGCAGTGCAAGGCGAGGCCGGCGAGCTTCGGCCTCTCAGGAGACTAAAGCCAAAGTGAAGGAGAACATCAGCTGCTGGGTCAAGAGTCCTTCTGCCCCGGAAAGCCCGCTGCCTTCCGTTGCCGGTTTCCCGCCCTTCCGCGTTGAAGCCTGCCTCTGTCCTGGATACCTGGCGGTCGAAAGCACTCGGAGTTTGTGCATGGCAAGTGCTGAGTTGATAAGTGAAAAGCAACAAGTCGGAGGGTTTCTTTTTTGCCCCTTTCCTGCCATCTGCATGTTTTGGAGCCGGAGATTGAAGCACAGAACTGGGACGCCAGTGCCTGCTTCACTCCGTGCAGCTGGCGCTGCGAGCAGTCCTTACGCTTGCCTAGTGTCCGAGCAAGTGGGAGCCCTGCGCAAATCGATCCCAATCTCCAATGATTCGTGGTATAATAGAGGAGAAACAACAAACAAACATCCCCAGACGCCCATGCGGACACGTGGTGTCTTTTCCCCTCGGCAAAAAGCTGGGTCTAAACCCTGAGGGCCAATGGCTTTTGGCCTGGGCTCAGTCCATTTGTCGCTGAGGGTCGTCTACCTCACGGAGGGAAAGACGAGGACGTGGGGCTGGCGCGTTTCTTTCTTTTTGCTCTTTGTTCGCAGCCGAAGCCGAAGATCAGCTGTCCCTTCCTTGGTGGTGGTGGGCGGTTTGGAGATTCGAACCGGTTCTTGCAGAGGGTAAATGGGAACCACCACCAATTCACGCTGCAGTCCTGTACCATTGGATTGTTAACCCCCGCTTGGTGCAACAAACCAAGGAAACACCAACTTCACATCCACTTCAAGGCAAATCCAGATCCGTGGTCATCGTCCTAGGTCTTGAAAACCACCAAATTCATTCCCGACGCCCCTCGGGGTCTTGTGACTGGGGACTTGGCATGGGTTCTTTGGTGCATTTTGCTTGGCTGTTACTTGGTTTTCCACTAAACCACTAAAAGTTAGTCACTTTTAGCAGGGGAGCAGATTTCGCAACCGAGGGTTTTGTGTTTTTGCTTGCCCCTCCTTTGTGCTTGAAAACGTGGCGAATGGATGCCGCTCCCTTCACTTCGCACAGCCCACGAAGAGCCCAGGTCGGCTTTCTCCGGGGTTGACATGGATGGCCGTGGCTCAAAATGAAACGATCGGGGCAAGCCGCAGGTTTTGGCGACCCTGTGTCCACTTACCGATCGGGCCAGCCATTTTGGAATTCCGGCTTTTTGACTTCGCCACCGGCGGATGCAAATTTTTGCGCCAGGGTTGAGAGCTTGTCTTCCAAAGGGCTGGAGCCGCAGAAAGCGCATGGTCGAGCTCAAGTGGATCAGTGTCATACCAATCCCGGCCATGCACGCGCATGTGCCCCGCGCCGCATGCCTGGATTTACCGGAACCATGACTTGACCATTCCCAACGTCAGCCCCCTAAGGGGCAGGTTCAAGGATATACCTCCAGTTTTGACATTGACAATCCCTGGAAACAGTCAACATGATACGGTGGATGCCCTAAATTAGGCCCTAAACATTGCAAATAGGGAACAAGGGAAGCCCTGTAAATTCCTTTGCTTTGTGGTTGATTTGCTTGAAGTATTCAGGGTATCAATATGATGACCCAGTCGTCTCTGCATGACAGGTTTCTCCTCATCTCTGTCATAGCCGCGGCGATGGTTGGCATCCTCTGACTGGTTGCAAGTGGATCGCTCGCGGAGTTTTTTCACCCAACGCACCGAAGTCGCCGGCGGCAGAGGAGGCTCAAAGTTGCTACGCCTCAAATCATGACGCTTGCTCTCTAAAGTTCCCACCGCAACCAGAGGACTACCCATGTCCATACTGTGGATGGACAAAATCCTGCATTTTGAAACCATGGTTGAAACCCTGGTATGTTGGTATTTACAGGGGAATCATCATTCTGGGGTTTCTTGGGTGGTGCAGGATTTTGTCCATCCACAGTAGGAATTTAGCAAATGTTGAGATAGCCAACCGACGAGTCGCAAGCCCCGGCGCCGGCCGATTTCGGTCAAACTCGTGCTATGTCAAGAAATTCCCGATCGCGCTATCGCGCAAGCGTGTCGGTGCGTGCCGACTTGGGCCATCTACATAGAACACCAATTCGAATGTTTTTGTCTCTTTATATTTTTTTCAACTGAGAACAAGGAGTTTTCACATTGACCACATGGGACGAGGGCACTTGAGATCGCTTGATCTTAAGATGGTGATGCCCCTTAGTTCGATCTTGCCGCAGATTTCACGGAAGCCTTCGCTCGTGGATCAACTTTTGGCAATTGGAGCATCCGCGACTCAGAAGGTGACAAGGAGCAGTCTGGCTCATGTAGGTGTTCCACATGGGGCCGCGGACCGGAAAACACACACACACAAACAAGTTGACGGGGTTTTCTTTACCTGCAAATGCGAACGGGTGGGCAAAAGCGGGGTTGGGACCTCCCATGGGTGGTTTTTTTTCCGGAACTGTTGGTCCCTTGTAGAACCGGGAGATTGTATCCAACCAACATGCGTGCCGAATCTTCCATTTGACATGAATATGTATGATTCTCCCAGTTGCACGTTTTATCAGACGTATCGGCTAGATGGAATGTGACTGGAGGCTTCCCCTTTGCCCGATGCACGTGAAAGGCATGTGCACGGGCGCTGGAGGTACTGTCCGACTTGGCAAAGGCATCAATTGGCAATCGTCGAATTGTTGTTATTTGGCCGTGGCTCAAAATTAAACAGCTAGGGCAAACCGCAGGTTTTAGTCATTTACCAAGGTGCCATTTTGGCTACCCATGTTTTTGAGCCACAGCCATTTGAAGCGCCACACCCTGTCCGTGTCAATCATCACATTATAGATGGTGACATAGCTTTGTTGCGAATAGGACTTGGGACATTGCCTCCAACAAGGAGTCTAGAACCAGCTTGATGCATTACTAGTCAGGATCTTTGTAGGAGTTCAAAACCAGAAGGTTGTAGAGCGGGTGTTTGCCTGCTCAACCATGCCAACGCAGAAAGCATTACAAGTCGCCATGCAGCAAGTATGCCAGAGGGGGGTAACCTCGACAAAAAGCTTGCGAAGCTAGCGTACAACCACCAAGTTCAGGCAGTTTGCGGACACTATACTATTTCGGCAGAGTCGACTTTTGATCAGCTTACCGCTCATGAGTGGTTTTTGTTTGTGGTTTGTAGGCGGGCGAAGCATCCCTGCTGGTCCCTTAGACGTGGCTTTGTTGAGGCGAGTGCCCCGCAAAGCATGAGCAGGCAAAAACTACGGGGGTTGCCCACTTCGCTTGCCATATCAGCAGGACACTTACTCCAGCCCCCAGACCCCATGTCCGGGGCCCCCGGGGCGGAAAACGCCCCCTGGAGGCGCCAAAGATACAGCCTTGAGAGGAGCAGGCGCTGAGTTGAAAAGCCTTCCGGGTCGCATCCCTCGAATCCCCTGGATCAACTTGCGGGCGGACACGCCAAATCTCTCCAAGTAACGTATGGAACGGAGGACGTACCCTACAAACGTAGGATTATTTGTCATACATGTTTACTTTGGAGTAGGGCAATAATGTTTGGAGGGATTTCGTGCGCAAAGATTCAAGACGAACCAACAGTAGCAGGGAAGGAGGAAGACAATTCGCCCTCGCGAGGGCATGATCGCATTTGCGACTGGAAGAGTGGTACTTTCCCTGGGTTCTCCATAGTTTCCCTGGTTTTGGTTGGCCCGAAGCCAGACAAATGGGAAAGATGAATGTCAGTCACGAGGTCAGAGCTGGAAAGCCGTTTGAGCCCAGAGGGACCTATCCATCCCCAAGGCTCCCCAAGGCTCCCCAAGGCTCCCCAAGGCTCCCCAAGGATAGCGGCCCGGCGACTGCCAGCACGGCGGAGGCAAGATTGGAGTTTTTTTTGTGGCGTCCGCCGCGTTGTCCAGTCCCAACGGGATTGGAGGATCGGAATAAAAAGCGCAGAGCTGAGTCAGGCCTTCTCAAAGGACCGCCAGGGGTGGCACCAAGCCATGTCAAGGGAAGCTCCAAGAGTGGACCTCGTTTCGATGGCAGCCACCAGTTGCAATTGAACGGGACATCCAGGTGCCCCCGGTATTTTGCTGGCCTTTGTGTGGGTGTTGCTTAAGCCAAAAGGTTGAAGACATGTTTTGTGCTGGGGGGGGGGTCCGAGCCTCTCCGCGAGCATGACGCTTCGCCATGCTGTGGCTGGCGTTGCTCCTTCTTTGGCCGTACCCGGCTGCCGGCGATGACTTCCTCGCCTGCAGGCGGGTGGCGGCCGGGGGCTGGCGGCGTGAGTGCCAGTGTTCAGGGCATCTCAGGGGCCAGTTTGGCGCACCGAACATCGTGTGCATAAGCGGGTCCTCAAAGAAATGTCACCATTTCGCTAACGCCTCACTAGGAAATGACGGCGACAACGCTGGAGGCAGGGTCTTTCTTCATCTTTGCTGCACCTTCAGACACCTTGACGTGTCCATTTCTACATTGGCCCTGCAAACATACAATGTGTATTCCCATTTCGTAGTTTTAACGTCGCCTTTCGGGCCCTCAAAGTGAGTTTCCTTTTGGCGCGATGTCGAAAGTGGAATATTTTGGGAGGTTCGTCGAATTTTGGCTGGCTGTGTGTGTGTGTGCGTTGGGTGTTTTTTGAGGCTCGCCTTTATGGGATTGATTTTTGTCGGGAAGAAAAACCCATGCGTTGGGCTCAACATCCTTTTCGAGTTGTAGGGATTTCTCAAACTAGACCCCCCTTAAAGGGAAACCAAAAGAACACCGCTACAAAGGGGCTTCCGGTATTGAACCATCTTCAAGCCCCTTTGCTAAGGAAGCCATCGTTAGGTGTCCAAAGTATTGGAACCTCCTTTTCCATTTCCAAGGATCACTTGCATCGTGGATCTCCTGCCCCCACTTTAGGGGACCCCTAAATCCCCATAGGTTTCATGTAAGGATAATAGCAAGAAACACCATTCTGGGAAATCTATGGGACCCCTTGTAAACCATGGGAAACCAGCCATCTTTCAGGGCTCCCCTTTTGTTTGGCAACAGCACACGCTCACAGCGTCCCGCTCTCTTTCTTGAATCAAGTCGTGAACAATGCTTGAGAAAGCTTGAACATGTAGCCTCCCACCAATTGAACCTGACATTTCGTGCTGTCCTGGTTTGGATCATTTTCCTTTCCTTTCAAGGGACCGGGTCCCGAACGTCAGGTTCCGGCTGTTAATTGGTGGGAGGGAAGCGAAGCAAGCGCACTTGCAAAGCGTCCCGCTCTCTTCACGGTGCCTGGGAGGGAGGGAGGGAGCCCAAAAAAGCCGCCTCCTCCAGGGGCCTTTTCTTTGGGAGGGGGGGTCTCCCTGCCCTCCTCCCACTCCCTCGCTCCCCTCCCCCTCCCTCGCTCCCTCCGCTCCCTCCCCACGCTTGGCTCGCTTCACAGGGCGGGCTCCTGGGAGCGACTCCGGCGCAGAGTTTCTCTTCGGAAGGCGACCCACGCGGAGGCGGAGGCGGAGGCCAGGGAGCGGTGGCCAGGGCGACCGGCCGTAAGGTGGCCACAATTCCCGTTGTCAGGTCAGCTGTTTGCTTTGGTTGGCTGGCTGGCTGGCGGCTGGCTGGCTGGCGGCTGGCTGGCTGGCTGGCTAAGTGGTTGGTTGGTTGGTTGGTTGGTTGGTTGGTTGGTTGGTTGGTTGGTTGGTTGGTTGGTTGGTTGGTTGGTTGCTTGGTTGGTTGGTTGGTTGGTTGGTTGGTTGGTTGGTTGGTTGGTTGGTTGGTTGGTTGCTTGTTTGTTTGTTTGTTTGCTTGCTTGCTTGCTTGTTTGTCTGTTTTTAAGCAGGGTTCATGGTTTGAAGGGAAGCAAGGACCAATTTTGGGGGTACTATTCTGACACATGCCCATGTGAGTATGTTCACACTGGGTTGGAACCCTGCCGAAGGATCCAAAATAGGTTGGCCACAAAGAGACACACCAAAATTTTAAAACATCTGTTTTGCCCCAAAAATGATTTTGCTTTCCTGCGCCCCTTTTCTCACTGAAGGGTACCCCGAGCTCCTTTCCGATGGTTTCTGTCCGTTTTGAAGGCTTGGAATGGAAAGGACACGCGAAGGGGGACATTTGTGGGTTGCATCTCGGATGCAGGAAACCAGATCTAACATGGTGCCATGAAGCAAACTGCCCTCCTGAAGACCAGAAAGCCGGCGGTCATCCATGTTCATCCGTGTAAAATTTGTGTGGTTCTTGAGGGTACCACTTTTCTTTGTGGTTTTCCAAGCAAACCCACAGGAAACCCGTTCCGCCATTTTGGGGGCTCCCCTAACAGACTCATGGGTCAACAGACCTGCACTACTCTGCCAAGCCTCTGACATGTTGGCGCGACCCTGGAACACAAAATGGGCCAACCGAATCGGACCTGCCTTTGTTGAATCGGAAGACGACAGAATCCCGATTCGATTGATGTTTTTTGTTTATTTGTTTAAAACAAATGCTTGTCAGCAGTGTCAGCGCTGTTCGGTTTCGCAGCGCGCACATTGCTTTGCTTGGAACCGTCGTTTTGTCCAATTCTTTTGAGGTTTCATCTATTCGAACTGGAGCGGACTGGATTTTGCAAGGACGTAGGTCACCGTCTTTTCATACATGCTCAATGCTTCTGTTCCATTTGCTTGAGACGAAGACTCGCTCTTCGGCTCCTGTTGGGTTCGAAGGGGGACATTTCCGCTGGAGGCCAACCCTTGGGACCAGTGTGCCATTCGGGGCACGGCTGCGAAAGTGTTCGACCAACCTCTGGTTTTTGGGGTCTGGTTCAAAGGGAAGAAGAGATTCCGTCAAAGACAGGTCTCAAGCCTCAAACTTCCTGGCTGCACGTCCATACCTATGGGCGACATTCACGCGTACAGCGGGCTCCAGGTGGCTACGTTTTTTTCCCCGACAGCTGAAAGCTTTGGGGTCTCAGCTAGGCTCCGGGGTGGTCCGGGGTTTCACCAGGGCTCCATCAGGGTTCCACCGAGGGTTCCAGGAGGTTCTGCGAGGGCTGCGGGGTGGTGCGAGCGGTAAAAAGAGCACTGCATGCTGTTGGGGATATCACCTGAGCTCATTCAATCTGAAAGGGACACCGAAAAAAAAAAAGGTGAATCCGCCGTGGAATTGGGGTCCAAACCCCTATGTTTTGCCGCATGCCCCCCGGTCGTTTTGACAGCACGTGAATGAGCTGGGCGGAGCTGAGGCTCGATGCTCGATTTGACTTTGACCAACAGACAATGGTTTCAACCATGGATTGAAAGCGATGCAGGATTTCGCCCATCCACAGTCTGGTTGTCAAGGGCACCAATACGACCCCCCCAATCCCAATGGCCAAGAACGACTAGCTGAAGCTTTGGGGTCTCAGCCCGTGATCCGGGGAGGCCCTGAGGGTTCCACGAGGTTTTGCGAGGGCTGCGAGGTGATTCCGAGGGCTAAAAGCCTTCTGCGAGGGTTACGGTGGTCGGGGTGGCTGTGAGGTAAGGTTCCACAGAGTTGTACAAGGGTTCCACAAGATTTCCACAAGGACAAGGCTGCTGCAACAGTCCAAGCAAAACCGGTGGTGGTGGATTGGATTGGTAGTTTGCAGCTTCCCGCGTCTTGGCCGGGCCATTGCGCTGTCGGGCCCTGATTGGGGCCGGGCCCCGGTTGGGCACCGTCGGCTGTACCTTTGTACAGGTAAAGCGGCATCCTAAGCAAAACCGGCGGTGCGCTATGATTGGTGGCTTGGATCCGTGGTTTGCTCAGCTGCGGTTGGCGGTCGGGCCTGAGCAGAAAAAGAGTACTGCGTGCTGTTGGGGATATGACCTGAGCTTGTTGTCTTTTTTGAGGCTTTTTGGTGCGGGGGCTCATCGGCCCCTGACAGCCATACCAGTTTGGCTTTGCCTCTCAGACATCTACATGCATTTTGCAAGAGGCATGTGAGATACAGTCAACCTAGGCGTCCGGATGGCATTTGGGCCTTAAGGAAGGCCGCAAAAGGCCCTTGAGCCCCCTGTTTGGTTTCATGACTTTGCTTGGTTGCCATGGATAGTCCTTGCCAGAATCATGAGTGACAGAATCGAAACGATCTCTCTGACTGCTGAATGAAGATAAGGCATATTCTGTTGCGAACGCTCGGAAGAAAAGGTTAGTGGGAGCAGATCAGAGAGACACGAGCCTTAGATGTTTCACTAATTGGACAATTCCTTTTACGATCTTACGCCCTTTCCGCAAATCAGTTCCCCATCTCGCTAGTTCACCCCAAGTCGCTTGTTTGAAGCAGGTCTCACGACTCATCGCAATTCTTTAAACTTTACTTGCCAAACCCTTCAGTCTTACACTTCTGCACATTGCCCAATTCCATGGAGGCTCAGTGTTGAGTCACTTGCCGCACGCAGGGCTTTGTGGAGACTGTGCAGGTGCAGTTGCGTGAGCAGGCCGCGTGTGAGGCGTCCACTTGCGAGTGCGCTGCGCGCCTTCCTGCCGCTCGGCCCGCTGGCTTGCTGGATTGTTGCTCCTGTCGCTCGCTCCGCCTTTTCTTCTTCTGTTCCACGCGTTGGTCGCGTTGTTTGCCAAGCTTCTTGCGCGCGTCCGCTGGCTCAGCTTAGCCACGTCTCGACCCCGGCGCGCGTTCTGAAAGGAGCCCCTTGACCTACAAGCTGGTTCCGCGGGGCATGCCGTGCCTTTGCAGGTCCGTCATTGAGATCTGCTGCGTGGGGGCCGCCCGAAATTATTTTTCCAATCGCTGCTTTTCAAAAGAACAGTTTCAGCCTCGTATGGCCCAACTGACGATGGCAAACAGCCAGCCTCGCGCAACGGGCGCCAGGCGAAGAAGGCTCCCCGAGGCGACTGCGCCTCGGCAAGCGTTAGATTGGCACGGGCGTGGTTTGAGCGCAAGGGCTGGCCATCGTTACTTCTTGCTCGGTGCTGTAATCTGAGGATCTGAGCCGTGGAAGGAGTTAAGTTCGTGCACGTTAAAAGTAGAGCTGAATCCAACATTGGAAACACAGGGCATGGACAGTGTTGGAAGTGTCAAGGCCCGCTCGGCCGGCCTGGGGCGAATGGCGAATGAAATTCTGGGTTGTTCTTGGAACAGTGTTGGCAGTCTTCTACTTGTGGCACAGTCTGGGGCATTGCGCGCCGAGACCTGGGCTGGCATGTCGCACATGACCCGCATCCCGAGCAGACACGTACCGCTGTTTGTCATTTGTTTACTTACAACTTTCGCACACCTATTTCAGTTTCAACACGCCGCGAATAATATGTGTCCAACATGTGGCCTTGACATGAACCAGCATGCGTTGGGATGTCATAGCAATTTGTTTGTATTGTCGCAGGCTGTCATGAACCTTTGCCATTTGACAAAAAGGCATCTGTTGGGGCTGGCTGGTCCACAGCAGCTACCATTTGTGACATGAAGGTCAGACACACACACATTGTCCCAGCACCGTATTGTTGCGTAAAGGAAGTCACGGGGAGTCGGAAGAGCTGTTCATTCAGGGTATCCAACCTCTACCCCCTACTCCAAATACCCACTTTTTTAAGGGTTGGGTGTAAGGGGTAGGTTTCCAACGCCCAAGACGTCGGGCTCCGCGCCCGAGGCTTTCGGACCGAGCTCAGTGACCGAGGCCTCCTGGGCCACTTCGCCCTCAGCCTCCTCTCGGAAACGGCGGCCTCCGTCGCAGAGGAGCGCTGAAAACAATGGAAATCGATCGCCTCGGGGTGTGGCTTTCGCCCAAATCCGCTAACAAGGACCAAAATGGGCTCCATCATTTGGAGAACCCCATGCACACAAGTAGATAATATATATATATATATAGATATAGCTATACACATATACACATGGTACCCGGAGTAGCTATATGGTACCCACCCCACAGATCAAAAAGGTGGGTTTTGGGAGGGGGGTGTAGCTATCCTTTACAGATTCGGTTCATTCCCCCACAGATGAAAAAGGTGGGTTTTGGGAGGGCGGGGGCGGGGGGGGGGGTATTTATTTATTTGTTTATCACTTGTTTTTTCCGTTGGTTGGCGTGTTTCTTTCGGTCGAGTCGACTCGGCCGCTCGTGCCTTCCGTAGGCGGTGGCTGGGCTTTTGTCGGGCCACTTCTGGTCTGAGCTGCTGCTGTCGCGCTGGAGCCTGGTCGTTTTGCGGCTGGCCTCCGCACCTTGCACCGTTGCGGGCCGGGCGGGCTGGGCGGGCGGGTTCGGCATGGGGGTTTTCTGGATCTAAGCAAACCGGGTTGATTAATAGTAGGTCCCCCAGTAGTGCCCCTTTTGACCCTTTGTTTTTTTTTTTTTTAAGGGAGGGTTTTTTTCTACTAAAACAGACTACAACCCCTGCCTGGATCGCCAGTTGCGAATCGCTTTTTGCCATGAACTTGACCCCAAAGACCAGCAACGGTGACTGACAAAAAGCAGCGATGAATAGTTTGTTGTCCTGGTTTTACTGCGGATTCATCACTTTTGAAGGGACATTAAGCAGAACCCATTGATGTTAGAGGAACGTTGTTACGAAAAGGGGTGGCCCCTTTCCTAAGGAAATGATGATGATGATGATGATGATGATGATGATGATGATGATGATGATGATGATGATGATGATGATGATGATGATGATGATGATGATGATGACGATGACAATGATGATGATGATGATGATGATGATGATGATGATGATGATGATGATGATGATGATGACGATGATGTATTTGACCATTTGGGTCCTTCGATGAATCTGTACTAGAGGGTTGGGTGTTCCCCTCCAAAAGTGTGCTTGAGTTTGATTGGGTGTCCCCTTTTGGAACACAATTGAAGTAGATGGGTGTAGAAATCCGGGGTTAGTAGTGTGGGAAGCGTGGTGGAAATCGGGAGGGGAGGGGGTGAGGGGTGTCCAAAAATGCAGGGGGGGGGGGTTGGTTCGTGGTCTACTTTTAGGGAATCTCGTTTTCCCGCTTTCCCACATGTGAATTTGTTTGATGCAAATTTTGATTGGGGACCCGCAATGACGTAATTTAGGCAGGGATTCGTGTCCGCCAACCACTCTTTCAAAATTCATCGGCAAATCCCGTGGGTTAGGTTGCCACAAGTCTACCCCCTACTCCAAATACCCACTTTTTTTTAGGTATTTTTGTGGAAAACCTGGTTTTCCATGGTACATACCTCCTTTTTTAGTAGAGGGCCGACCTGATACCCTAAAAAAGGCCGGGTCTTGGGTGTAAGAGGTAGGTGGTTGTATGAAGCCCAGTGTTCTAGGGGAAGCTTCCATTTCCATTCTTTCGAGGGATCCTTCTCTTCAGGAAACTATCAAGAACCAAAAAGAAACGGCCGGTTTTGGAAAAGAGTGGTGGTTGAACAGAATGGTGTCGGACATCGCGGTATCTGAAGCCCAGCGGTTAATCACTACACTCAAGTTCCCCATCTTTTGTTTTAATGTGGGAAAGGAATCCCGGGGACAAGGGTGAGATTTCCCCACAGAGAAAAAGCACCACCAGTCCATGTTGGAGGGATCCGGATCACCTGCACCGCCTGATTCAATCACCGGATCTGGGCCCAAAAGTGAGCATCCGTGCAAAGCAGGTAGCTGGACGACTGGTGACTGCTTTTTGGCCACCCCAGGCTTCGGATCGTGGAAACACCCCCGAATCCAGGCTGAATGCATGGCTCCAGCCAGGCAATCGCCCGTAGCCCAAAAGTACGGAATCAATCCCATCTCGGTAGGATTCGGTTTATGACGTTCCGGCCGTTCCGGCGTGGTTGAGAGGCAACCCCTTTCGGGTTGCTTCGGGTAGGGCTCCTTGGGGTACCTGAAGCCCCTTTTTTTCCCTGACTCCCTGAACGGGACTCCATAGCATGCGATGCGTACCCGAGACCTGAACGCTTTCCGTGGCTTTGGGACCCAAAGTCACCAGACCATTTTCAGGCTGCAAAACTGGGGCCTTTCTGTCTCGAGCAATGGACGTGTCGCTTCAGTCAGAAGTCAGCTGTCCCCCGACTGAGAGAACAAAGAGCTACTGTGCATGGACGAAATGCTGCACCACCTAAGAAATGCATCTACCAACAAACAATGCTTTCAACCATGGTTTCAAAGTGGTGCAAAATGGATTTCGTCCACAGCATCATGGATCCCCAAGCTGCAAGCGTTCTGTTTCCTTGTCGATTGCAAGACTGCAGGCCTTGCTTTCATTGTTTCGTTGAAGGAATGTGGATGCAGATAGATCCTTTATTTTAGTGTCAACTTTGGTTCATCCAGAGACTTCACGAATCAATCAGGGGGACTCCCCTTTCAGCAGGATAGAAATCCATTTCGGGGTTGGATTCCTCCATGCACTTGTCAAATTCCTCCAAGTTCGCCTCGGAGGAACGCGCACTTTATTCGCTACCAACCATGGCTCGGTGCAAAAAAAAACCCTTTGAAAGGGAGCCTGTGCCCAGGAGAAGCTGACTCGTCGAGGCGATGGTGAATGAACACCGGGCAGGGTGTCTTCTTTTGACATGGTGTCCCCAGTTTGATGGTTTTAAAGAAAAGCCAAAAGGAAAACCCCAATCCATTTTGGGGGTTCTATAAAAAATGACACTCCACTTCAGACAAGGGTTGGTCACTTACCAAACGACGGCAGCATACTTAGGAATACTGAGGTTTGCTTCATTGGAATTTGATGTAGGACTTTCCAAGGCTGAAGTTCACAGCTCATGGCAGAGCAATGTTCAGCACATGAGACGTTGACCTCCCCTTGTTTCCATACTCAGGATCACAAATCTGACGCATGGCATAAACGACAGGCGTCGTTGCGCTTGTTGCTGGCAGCTGGGAGTTTCACGATGCTTTGTGTGAGCTCAATAGCCGTCCACATGTTGCAATCTCCCTTGCTTCGCGTGTTTCATTCAGGTGCTGGGATTGTGAATTGTGCCCAACTAGCATGATATCTTTGTTTTTTCAGTTTTCAGTGGTGTGGAATGCCATTGTGTCATGTCCAAAACGGTTTGCAGAGTTGACACGTGCTTTGGCTTGAGACACCTTTGTGGTTTCGCCCTGAATCCCCCTCAAACAAAAAACAAGCGCGGCAAAAAAACAACAACACAAATTGGAGGGTTCCATGGTTTGAAAGGAAGACCACCATTTTGGGGGGGTTCTGAATCAGTTCTGAACCCCGAAAAAGTCGACTGGGACCCCTGCCTCGACCGTGAGGCGGCCTCGGCGTTCGCTCCGCGAAGCTGAGCGTGCGGCTCCGCGCCCGTGCGAGGCGCGAGATGCCGATGGGCTCCGAGCGATTTGGATTTTCTGATTTCCAACTGGGTGATCAATGCCACCAGGAGGGAGGGAGGTGGGGGGGGGTGGCGGGAGGGAGGTGGGGGGGGGGTGGCGGGAGGGAGGGAGGGAGGGAGGGTGGGGGGCGGAATGCTGTGGTTGAAATCGAAATCCATCCGTTTCGAACCACGGTTAATGAAACCGTGGGAATGAAACCATTGTTGGTACTTACAAGGGAATCGAATCAGAAACCAGGGTTTCTTAGGTGGTGCAGAATTTCGTCCATGCACAAAAGCTCTGCATACTATATGGCGAGCTCACCAATTCGGGGGGTAAAACGAGCGAAAGCCATCAAGATCCTTCACATGGGGATCGCTTGTTTCAGGTGTTCGGAATCATTGTAAAAAAATTGCAGGATCAAACCCTCCCCTTTCTTTTCCTTTCAGAGAATCCCAAACGGTTCCTTCCCAAAGCCTGGGCCATTCCCTACTTTCAGCACCAGCAAGTTGATCGGTTCGTTTGGTCGGACGAGATCGATGGGTTCCACGTTGGTTTTATGCGATCCATGTACCGGGAAAACCGAAAACCCATCAATATGTGTCCGAAAGGTCACCCAGGTTGCGGGAATATGTGTGATTTTTATCCTTTGTGGCCATTTGGTAGCGAACCTTTGGACTTTAACTTGTTTTGGGAAGTGGGTTTTCCATTGGAGCCAGGACAGTCAAGCTTTTTGCAGAGGGGTCAACAGCAACCAAGATCCCCTGCTGCATGTGAAGGGAATCTATTCCTACTGCAAACATTCTTTTTTCCAGGGACTTAAGCAAGCATTTGGAAGATGGAGTATCATCACCTCACAAGTGGTTGCCAGACATGAATCCCCTCCACATGTTGATGTCCAACTACGGAGTCCCCTATTAAGATTTACACCCAAATGGAGAACCTCGAAGATGGGACGGGGTGTTGCTTTCCCTTCAAACAAGTTACCCTAAAAGTGCTCCGCACCTCGAAGGGTAGGTTGCTGCTACAATAGCATTTGGACTGGTTTCCTTTCCTCCTTTTTTGAAGCTCCGGTTAAACGGGACCCCCAGTTCAGGTCACTCCCAGTGGTGCTGCGCGCGATCCTCAACTCAAATTCGGAAACACTAGGGAGCGTCCAAGGCGATAAGAACAATACACCTGATGGCAACCACGAGAGCCATCAGCTCCAGTTCTCCGGCGAGCGAAGCTGGGGTCGGTCGCAATCTGTTTCCAACTCCCTGAAACTGGCAGTGATTCATTTGGGACATCCTGCCTTCTTTGTCACATTTCCGGGGCCCATTCGATGATGCAGATGATGTGATCAGCTTGAAGATCGGTCGACGGTGGATGCCCTAAATTTTGCAAGTGGGGCAACCAGGAAACCCCCGAATTTCCTGTTGTTCACAATGGTGTTTGGGGTTTCGTGCGGTTGGTCTTGCAAAATTTAGGGCATCCACCCCCCTTGTCGCAAGCCCCAGACATCAATCCGCTTTTCGTGCCCTGGCCTGCCAGGCAGCTGGTGGCAACAGCAGAGCGCCGAAGCTTCTACTTAGACGGGGGCTGTGCATGGCGGCGACCTGTGTGTGTGTGTGTGTGTGTGTGTGAGTGTGTGAGTGTGTGTGTGTGTGTGTGTCTGCTTTTCTCACACCATCCTCCCAAGAACCGGATTGTTGTGTCCGGCAGTGTGGATTTATAATCCCCTTTTGACTTTTTTGAGAACGGACCCCGGGCTTAGGGATCGGATCCCGATTTTTTGAGACCAGCACAGAAGTTGCCCAAGGCCTGCCATTTCAACACCTTTGGGAGCTTTTTGAGATCCAGGCAAGCCATCCTGGAGGTTCCCCGAAAGCAAAGTAGTCTTCTAAAGCCCCCCGGCAGCTTCTATGATTGGAAGGGCAGTTCTGGGACAAGAGACGGGTGACTTTGGTCTGAATCAATGCAAGGCTGTCTCCAGACATGTCCGCCGAACAGGAAGCAGGAAACAGGAGCGAGCAAACGAAGGGGATGTTCGGAACACGACAACACCTCCTTTCCCCCTAGGGATCCTTCACAAGCAGAGCTCTGCAAGAAGGGATTGAAGGCTCCACGCAGATATAATGTATTTTGTTGATGATAGCGTTCAGCACCTGGCAGCTAGAGCACTGTTTTTGCAATAGGATCTCATGGACGCATCATATATCATGGAGCATCAAGGTATTTATATATATATATATTTATATATTGCACCCATATGCGACTTATTGCAGGCGTTCATGTTTCTGACATGCCACCTTCGCAGTCCTGTCTTTGGAGGGGGGTCATGTTTTGCTCATTTGCACTGAACCAGCCGATTTAATTGTCATAGTCTGCTTCAGAAACAGCTTCAAGTCACCAGAAGTTGCGCCGACAACGGGCAAGCTTCTGTTATGTTTACCACATGAGCTACAAACAAAACAATGGGCAAGTGGACGCTAGAAAGGGAAAGTCCCAACCATGAGCAGGTGCGGATATCCGCCCTCTTGCGTCTTGTTTTGGGTTGGCCCCTTTGCGTGTTTTCACGAGACAGACCCGGTTTGGGGAAGAACGGTATTAACCCTCATCGGCCCCCTCGGCCGGCTGAATGCTTCGGAATGCGATGGCAGGATCCAACGAGACACGAGTCCGACGTTCTGTCCAGAAAAGCAGAAGGGCCCATGGGTGTGTGTTTTGTTAAGGCACCCCCCCTTTAAAACGACTAGAAAAGGGGTCTTAAGAAGAAAAAACCACACACACCCAAATACTTGTTGTCTTTTGTTCTCAGTGCCTGTTTTGGATCGCTTCTTTAGGGAGATCAAAAGGAACCTTGGTGTCCCCCCTTTTGGAGACGACCCCAGATGGGTATGGTCAAAAAACAACCACCAGAAAGCCGCAGGTCAAAAATCGTCGATTCCACTTTCCCTCCCACCAAATAACAAGGAATCTGACGCTCAAGGGGTCTGGTTTGGACCATTTTAATTCCTTTTAGAGGGACCGGGTCCCGAACGTCGAACGGTTCCGACTGTTACTTGGTGGGCGGGTTCCAGGGCTGGACAATCCTCGTTGACACCAACACCAAACCAGAACCCGTCATTCAAGATCACCGCGGCGAACCAGAACGCCGAAAAATGTTTTCTTGATATTCTGACCCAACATATTGTCAACCAAATGTCCCATATGGTTTTGGAAACTCGTTTTGAAACCCCGTTTTGGGGTTTCCCAATTTTTCACCCAGATACGTTGCTTCGCCGATGATTTTTGCACATCCGAGGCCCCAAAAAGGGCTCCTGGCCTTTGTGAGGGGCGTAGACCAGGCAGGACAAAAAGCTGGTCATCCTTTTGGTTTTCCTTCGAAACCACGAAAACCCACATTTTCCTGTTCAGTCTAGGGGCTTGCATCAAAATGGGTCTGTCTTTTCTTTGGAGGGTACTCTTTCTGGGGTTGTTTTAAAGGGAAGCCAAGGGGCAACCCGGCCTTTTTTGGGAACCCTATTTCCCGACAAATCCAAATCGAAGGAACCCCACTGGGGATTGTTTCCGACGCAGCAGTGCCACAGCCAGCAAATTGTAGGCTGCTGATCGCGGAGGGAGAAGATGGTTTAACTCACAATGATCAAGCGTTTGTCATTGATCTGCTCCCCAGTCGTCCAGTGGAACCACAACATGTCCCATCACGGTGGGTTTCTTCAACCTCAACTGATGTTTTGGGCAAGCAAGGCGGCCAGGTGCGCAATTTGACGTGCATTTGACGCCGTTCGGCAGGCGTCAAGCTTTGGCAGCCGCTTCAGTTCACCTTGTGTGGTACACATCCAAAGGCAACTTGCAATGTGGGGTTATCTTTTTGCAAGGTACCTCTCACTCAGCCAGTGGGCGCACGTTGCACTTTTTTCCTTGGCGGCTCTCCATTTATTTTCGTGGTGGCCCAAAAAGTGTGCACTTGATTTGGCGGTCACTGGCCAAGTGACACCTGCCTTTAGGTTGTTCTTAAGGGAAAGAAAGGGAAACCACCCTTTGTAGGGTTCCCTCAAAAAAGACAACCCCATGTCGACTTTGGCATGGCCAGCCTTCGGGAGAGACTTCATCCGCGGAGCCAAGTCGTTGAGCGTTCTTGCACTTGCAACAATCCGCAATGCTTTGAATAATTTGTAGCGAGCTTGCCGAGGGAATACCAACCCATGCCCTCCACCATGACGGTTCTTTAGGGGCTGTACTTCCTGTTCTTGTTCAGCTGCTGACTCACATGTGTTGATTTGTCATTAAATCTACTAGATGTAAATATTATAAAATAGAATGAAGGTGAGAGACTTCTCATAAAGTAAAATAAGATGAAGATTGATCCCCTCATTTTGCGTGGCTCCAGTCTGGAGCCCTTCGTCCGGCCCGGTATGTTGGGGCCCTTTGCATTGCCCCAGCGCGCCAGGACCAGCGCGCCTACCTGGCGAGTCCCCGCCGGGAGAAGCAACTGCCTGCCGGATGAAACACGGAGCTGCCGTCGTTTTAACACGAGTTGCCTCCCAGCCATCCGGTCCCTTAGCTTCTTCGCCTTTGAGCTCACTCCCCGAGTTCCTGGACTTTAAACTTTTTGGGAAGACCATTTTAGTGGTGAACAGAAAGTTTGAACTTTTTTTGGCCCATCAACTCAGGAAGTGAGTGAGTGTTTAGTGGTAGTTTCCGAATTTAACTCACTAAAAGTTAGTCGCTCTTAGCGGGGGATCTGAGGGTCCAGGTAAGGTTAGTTTGGATAAACATAGATGGCGCTGGCTTAGATGGGTTTTATTTCAGTTACCAAGGCCATCGATTTTTCCGAAAGGCCACCTGTGGTTCTGTGCACCCATGCCTACCCTCCCCTCCACCAACATGCAAGCTGACTGAGGGGTCCTGGAAGACTACTTTCCTTTAAAAGGGACCCTTTGCTGGCTTCCATGTTAGTGGACAGGAGGGCAGTTGCACTCGAGTCTGTTGTTTTTGCAGGTACCCCTTTCGGTTGGTTGTAAAGGGATGCCAAAAGGAAATCGTTGCCATCCCATATATAGTTGAAACTCCAGCGTATCAAGGTCCAGCATATTTCCCGTAGAGCTTACAGAGTTGGACATACAGTGGCTGGACGAAATTCTGCACCACTTTGAAACCAGTGGAAACCGTCGCAAGGGTTCTTCGGTGGTGAAGGATTTTGTCCATCCACAGCACCTCCCAAACCAGCCTGCATTGGAGACACCGTGGAAGGCTACGATCCTTCAGGCCTCTTCCGGATTCCATCCGCTAGAGCCAGAGAGTTGCAGAATCATGAACTCATGCTCCCGTGAGCGTTTTCTCGAATAGTGGCCCCGCAAAGCGGCTGGTTTCCCTTTGGTGTCTCTTTAGCTACCAACCAAATGGGGATCCACCATTTTGAGACACCCGCCCATTAGATGGTTTTCCAGGCAGACTAAGCCAAGTCGATGCATGTCTCATTTCCCATAGGTCATCCTCTTGGTTTGTTTTAAATTGAACAATGGCCACAGTTCTTCAGCCTCATTTTCCGGTGTAACTCGCAGATTTGGGTCTTCACCGACTTTGACGCGAGTAAACTCACAGCTTCGGCCCCTGGATCAACGGATTCGCCCATCGTTCCCCAAGCAAGGAAGCCCAGGAAGCGACACTCAAAAACTCGCCAAGCAAAGCCCCGGATCTCTTTGGTTTTCGCAAGGGTAGATGGGAAGCCCCCCCTTTAGCAACCCCATTCCACCAATCCAAACCACGAATGAGAGGGAAGATGACTTTATGTGGTGTGCCTGCGGATCTGGAGACTACCCTCCAATGGAAGCGCACAGACACCTTCGGACCACTTCCTCTGAAAAGTTCAATTGGGACCTCCGTGCGAAGTTCAATTGGGCACCCCTGACCATTGAGTGGGCATTGATGTCCAAGTATTTGGGAGATGGAGTCGTATTCATCCTAAAATCATGTCATGGCCATTTTGGAGCGTTTCCAAGATAGGTGTGTACGGATGAGAGAAACACCCAAAACCAGCTCCCCAAATCCTTCCCTTTGCTTCTTCTTTCTTATTTAATTACTCTGGTTCCCCTGTTGGTCTTATACGGAATCTATGACCACTGGAATTATTTGCTCATTTTGTCCCAGAGAACATATCCGCAAAGGGGAGGAATCCCAAAGGTCCATCTTCGCCGAGGCGCGGTGTCCTGCAAAGTCTCCGGGGTGCCGCGCTGCTGCTGGCCAAAGGAGGCGAACCAAGACTTGTTCAGTGATTGGAGGGTTCTTGTACCTCCCAGAAAGGTGCGCGCGCGCTGTGTGGCTTGTGGCTTGTGGCTTGTGGCTTGTGGCTTGTGGCTTGTGGCTTGTGGCTTGTGGCTTGTGGCTTGTGGCTTGGATGGTCTTGTTTGCTTCGTATGTTTTGCGGGTTGGTTGGTTTTTAGCTTGCTTTTACCCGCTTGCTTGGTTGAGTTGGTTGGTTGGGTAGTGTGGGGCGGGGTGGGGTGGGGTGGGGTGGGGTGGGGTGGGGTGGGGGGGGCTGGGCTGGGCTGGGCTGGGCTGGGCTGGGCTGGGCTGGGCTGGGCTGGGCTGGGCTGGGCTGGGCTGGGCTGGGCTGGGGTGGGGTGGGGTGGGGTGGGGGTGGGGCATGGTGGGGTGGGGTGGGGTGGATTGGGTTGGTTGGCTGGCTGGCTGACTTTCTTTCTTGCTTGCTTGCTTGCTTGTTTTTTTGTTTGTTTGCTTGCTTGCTTCTTGCTTGCTTGATTGCTTCTTGCTTGCTTCTGCTTGCCTGCTTGCCTGCTCTTCGCTTGCTTGCTTGCTTGCTTGCTTGCTTGTTTGCTTGCCTGCTTGCCTGCCTGCCTACTTGATTGCTTGCTCGCCTCCTGCTTGCCTGCCTGCCTGCCTTGCTTGTTTCCACGACAGCATTGATAAACCATTCTTCAACCCCAGTTTGTTAAAGCGAATCGACCTGTTGACCTTGTGCTTCCTTGGCATCGTGGGCAAACAGTTTGGTGACAAAACCAGACCTCTGAAGGGGAACCCAAAAGTGGTTGTGTGAACAAGGGGTGCTTTGTCGCTCCTTCTGGGCCCCACTTGGCCAGACACCACTTGGGTAAAAAAGAACATTTAGAATAATTCCGGCTCAGCATTGGCTTGGGGTGCTCACTTGAGTGGCATTCCTTTTGCAACCATTTCGAAGTGTGAGGATGAGTCTGACTTTTCGAACTGAGTCAAACACGTTTCGACCTTTGCCTTTGTCTTCCAGGGCCGTTTCAGAGTTTCACTTTGATCGATGTCAAGCCTCTCCATTCTATGGCAGCCCATGCTCCCTATAGATCAATGGACTTGGCTCCTTTTGGACCCAAACCGCCCACTCAAAGGGGCGATCGGGTACTTAGTGAGCGGTGAGTAACCATGGTTATAACCCACTTAGGAGACTTGTAACCATGGCAAGTGGGTTATAATTTATAATCATGGTTGCTAACCACTTGCTAAGTACCCGGTCGCCCCTTTAAAGCACCCCCCCCCCCCGGCCGCGCGCCCAGCGCGTCCTTCGTTCAGGCAGACAGTCCACCCAAAGCGCTTGGTGGATGCCCACGGCCGGTTGGAGCCAGGCCATGGCCTGGCTCCCGGGTTTCCCCCCGCTTCTTCTTCACCCCCCTTTCAGTGCTTTTTGCCTGTAGCCCCTAGTGGCTTTTTATGAAGGCCTGGAAAAGCTAGAACCCCAAAAATTTGGTGTTAGGGGGCTCAAGTTTTTCTAGTTTTGGGGGGTGGTTTGAAAGGGGAAGGGTTCGAACAACTCGGGTGTTCAACCAGCCATCCGCATAAAGTCTGAGGTGTTTAGCAGTTTTTGTAGATGGTTTAGTGGTTAGGTTTCCATTTGGCCCACTGAAAGTTAAAGCTTTTTGCAGGGGATCTGAGGACAGCCGAGACAACCACACAATGCCGGTCCTATATAAGGTTTAAGCCAACATTTAAGAGTCCCCAAACAGGACGATTCACGTTAACCCCGGATCTAGGTAGAACCCCTGGTTTGGTTTTCATTTTGGTTGGCGCCCCCTAGTAAACTTTTGGATGGACGGGTTTATGAATGTTTGCTAACGGAAAAAAAAGGAAGAACGAAAAGAAAGAAACTGGGCCGTTGTTTCTTTTGTGGAGGGTGGTTTCTCTTTGGGAAATCCGCCACCTAGCTTTCCGGGGGACACGCCCAATGGGGTTGCTCCACAAGGCCAAAAGGGCTTTCCACCTGGTTTGAAGGGACGCCAAAAGCAAAGCACCTGTTTTGGGGTTGCCCTATGTGAGACACGTATCCACCCAAATGGTCAATTGAGCTTGGGCTGCGTGTTTTGGAAGCCCGCACACGACACGGGCCTGACTTCGATGGGTTCTGGCAAGGTCGTGTGCCCCAAAAGCCAGACAGCCAGCACCCCCTGGTCCAAAAAAGATATTTGCCCCCGGAACACATGCGCCACATGTGTTTCAGGTTAAGAGAGCTGAAGATCTGGGGATGCCCCTCTTGCTTGCTTCACAGCCCTTGTTTCACCATTTTGTTCCGGCAGCATCCTTCGTCCAGGACTGCTGCGTGACTTAGGACTCTTAGGACCGTCTTGTCGGTGCTTTATTTGTGACCCGGTATTAATCAACCCCTGCTAATGTTGAAGGGGGGGGTGTTCCCCTCCAAAAGTGATGATTCCCCACTATATAAACCCAGGCACACCTCTCTATGAGTAAACTGGGGTTGATTAATATAAGGTCAGCATCAATTAACACAGAACCCCCACCATCTCCATATCTACTGTAGATTCTTCTTTCCCATTGCACCAAATGCTTAGATTCGTTCAGCGAATCTTCTTTGCGATGACCGTTCTATAGCTTTCGGGATTCTGTTCATTTGGGCTCTGCGCATTGCCAAAGCTTGGCTTGCCGCCGGGGATTCCGGAGCTGAGAGGTTTCTCGGATTCATGGAAGTTCCCTGACAGGAAGCTATGCATGCCTGGAACGCCAAGTTGCGTTGTCTTTAGTCCAGACACTTTAGCCCCCCCAAAAAAAGACTCACAGTTGCTGGGGGATAAAGGGCAGCAGGCGGTCCCGGGGTGATTTTTTCTTTCCCAGGGCCTGGATTTCCCGCGTCTGTCGAAGGGCGGATCGCGTTCGGGGCCTCCGGGGCTTTGAAGTGGGGAACCTCCAAAGTGCTTGGGGGTCCCCACCCAAATGGGTATGGGCCATAGGTCAAAATTAAACCACCAATTGGACCGCAGGTTTTAGTCTACTTCTCTCCAATTACCAGGGCAAGCCATTTTGGGCACTTTTTGACCCACTGCCAAATGATGTCTACCAAGATTCTCCCCACTTAAAAGCCACAGCCAGGCGGAGATGAGGTAAATGACCCGATCCCCCGATCCGATCCGATCGAAAATCTGGGAGGCCTGGATTGTCCTGGCGTGCTTCGATGAGTCGCTGATGCTCTTTTCCTGCGCCCCCATCATCAAGGAGGCTGATCTAGGAGGGGAAGGAGGGGAAGGAGGGGAAGGAGGGGAAGGAAGGGAAGGAAGGGAAGGAAGGGAAGGAAGGAAGGGAAGGAAGGGAAGGCTAGGAGTCTATCTCCGAGATCCGGCTGACGCCACTGGGACGCCCATCTATCCGAGATCCGGCTGTAAATCCACAAGGGGGCAGATTTATTGAAGACAAGCTGCATGACATACTGCGAGGGAAAGCGGCACGCACGCTCCCACAAGTTCTGGGCTTGGCGTGCGCAAAAGACTCGGAGCAATCCTCCGGCCCCTTTTTGGGGCGCATGATGATGCTTCCAATGAAAAAGCTTGACACGAGTTTTGCGGAGTTTCTTTCAGAAAACTGATCTGTGATCCGCCATTTGAAAAAACCAACTCCCGTTTCAAGATAATCACGTGTTTTGACCATGTCACGAGGTGTGCGCTTGAGGGGCTTGGCTTTGCTTGATGAGTTTCATTGGACTAGCTGCCGCACTTTTGGAGTGCGGCCTAAGGGATGTCAGTTTTGGGATTTGGACCCCACCAAATGGTGCAACGGTTGGTCTTTTGGTTTCCCTTTCAAACCACCAACCAAGGGGTACCCTTCAAAAAGACACCCTTCTGGCTAAGAACCTGAGTGCCCATGCACCCCAGTTTTTTCTCACCGGCCTTTTGATTGCTTGGTTTGGCCCAACCGCAACATGGGTGTTTCTCAAGATAGCCCGAAAGCCGCTGGTGCGCTTTGCCGTCAATTTCTCTGCCACAAGGGCTGATGCTCAAATAAGTTGGACAGTCATTCAGAATTTAAGTAGCAGCAAATTAGTGTGAAGCCATGGCTTGAGTCATGTTCCACTTGTTAGTCTGACCGACAGGTGGCTTTCAGTTTCGGCGAAAATGGAACCTTTGCTTGGGAGCCTCTTGGGGCATTTGGAGGTTGGTCAGCTTCCATCGTGGATTGGACTACAACAGGTGCTTCTGTAAGCGCCTTTTCACCTGTTCGTCCGCATGCAACTGCCAGCAAACGCCTCGCCTCGGACGAGCTGCCGTGGATGGAGGAAATCCATTTCGCACCACTTGGAAGCCATGGGAAACCATTGTTTGTTGGTATTCGCAAGGAAATCATTATTCCAGGGTTTCTCAAGTGGTGCAGTGTGTGGGCAGCCTTGGGACCAGCTATGTAGCTTTGTCGTGCATGAAGCTGTTCTCCCTCTTTGATGGTCTGTCAATTCTTTTGTGGGTATTCTTTTTGGGTCGGTTTTCCCCTGACACCAAAAAACCTCTCTAATTGTTAAGGGCCCCAATTTTGACTTCTTCTCATGGGCTTAGGGTTGACGCCACTGCTACCAAAGGTGAAGCGTTGGGTGTTTGTTGGGTGTTTTGGGTGTTTTTGTTGTGTGTTTGATGTTTTTTGTTTAAGGTGTCCCCCATTTTTGTAAATGGGCCTTGCTGCAGGTCGATGGGCAAACCTGACCCGGGCATCGCGGGTTTGATTTGTAGGCGACGCGGTCTCCACTGCTGAGCAGGCAGTCCACCGCCCAAGTGGGAGCCGGGGAAGAGGTGGGAATCTACGAAGGTGTTAGCTCAAAGTGTTTAATTTCCACCAGCCCTTGAACTTGATTGCTGTTGGGTTGGATCTTTAGACTTAAACTTTTGGGGCAATGAGCTGTTTTCCATTGAACCCACAACAAGTTAAAAACCTTTTGCAGAGGGGGTGGCAACCAAGTAAAGGGGAGGAGCATTTGCTAACCACTTTTCCCTTCCTCTTATTTTGTACCCAGCTCAGGGGTCCGGGTCTCGGATCCCTTTCTGCGTTCCAACCAAGTCCCTTTGGAGAGAAAACCGGAGGGAGCCTTCTCGCAGATCCCGGTGCGGAGAGGTGGCCCTGCACATGCCAACATTGCTGGGCTTTCTGTGAGAGGGCGACGTATGCTTGAAACAACTGGTCCCCTTGAAAGGGCAGTTGGTCGCCCCCGGAAGCGAGCGCGGCGCTCGAAAGCAGGATATGTTCCGTGTGTGTTGGGGCTAAAGGACACGGTGGTGTCGGGTGAACAAGAATGATCATCAACCCGAGAATATTTTGCTCTAGAAAGAAAGATGGGGGTGTCTTCATTTAGGGAGCCCCCATAGCTGGCGGTTTCCTTTTGGTTTCACCTTAAAGCCAGCCAGAAGCAGAGGCGAAAAACAACAATGACCCCTTATAGAACTCAGGTGTTGGTTCATTTTGCTGGTGCTCAGTAGGAATGACCGTTCCGGGTGTTGAATGAACCTAGGGATCCCCCTTAAAGGACACCACTTCGTTCTGCTCTGGGTCATTCCAACTCATTCCCTCAGAACCAGCATGTAAAGGTCCCGTTAACACCCAAATATGGACTTCACCGTGCCAGAAATCAATCGCGGCCATCCGAGGCGGTTCTTCCTGTCCGTAAGGCGGGCGGCCAGTTTCCTTTTAAGGTGTCCAGTGGCGCGGGGAGTGTATCTTTTGGGCCTGCGGCCTCTAGCCGGCTACGCCTCTTGGAAGATATACTATGTCATATCATGTTGTTATCGTTGTTTTTTTTTTTAGTGAGAAACGTATCCTGTGTTCTGATATGGTTGGTTAGGTTATGCATGTTGCCCACTCCAGCCCCAGATGATGCCGGGGAATGCAAGCTTTCTGGGCCCCACCCGGGCCCCAACCCGCGCGCGCGCGCCAGAGACCCCAGAATGAGCAGCCCAAAAAGAACAGCCCGCAAGCCAGCCCGCACACGCAAACGCAACGAAGCACCGCAAATAGCAGCGTTTTGTGGCTCGGGTCGCACACGCGCGCGCGCGCCAGAAGGCCCGAAAACCAGCGGGAAAAAAGCAAGGACCGCGCAGCAAAGGAGCGAGCCACAACAAAAGCAAAACGGACAGAACAACAGCCCAACGCCTAGCATAGCAGTTTTTGACGGTATTTACGGCGTTTTGTAGAGCAAGGGCCCAGAATTGCCGGCATCCCCGCAGCGCTTGGCATCAAAATGCGCGAAAATGAGCCTTGCTTATATCGCTTCGATACCTTCTAAAAAACAGTGCTTCGCAGGATTCACAGGTTGAGAGGCTTTTTGGACGGAAGTCTCGATGATGCAGACCAAGCCCCGCTGAAGCATCACCCAAGCCCAACCCCACACCCAGATGATGTCAGCCACACGGCCTAAACCCTGCATATACGCGATGCTTGAGTAATTTGTCCATCCACTGTCGCGCCACCTCAACATCCCTTCCTGCAAAGTACCAGAGCGATCACCCCTTCGCCTGGCAAGTGCGCGCATGAAGCTGCCGCATCCACTCGACGCTCAGATTCATGCCGAAATCAGGAAGGTCTTCAAATGCCTGTGCGGTGTGCTGTGTGCGTCTAGTCCTCTAGGCTGCCTTTGATAAGGCTGTCGACCCACAGCGGGCGTTGGTTCCGTTGTGATTTTGAAGGCAAGCCGTTCTACCTCAGGTTGGCAATTTATGCGAGGAAAGTATCTCCAACTGGAACAGGGGGTCTTCAACTAGGGGTGCTAGATGTACCGGATGCGGGCCCCACAAAGTTGGCATAAGTTTGCTTGAGCCTGTTTCCAACTTAGGGTGAACTTTGCGGCATTGATGCTTCTTTTTTGTCAGCTTTTGAGGTTGAACTCAAGTTGCCTGGCAGGACTGGCTCAAGTTGCATGGGTTTTTTAGAAGACCCTGGCGCATGATGTCGGACACTTACATGTCCCAACCTGATTGTGTTACTGACACTGAGGAACAGAATCAGAAACTGGATTGAATGATCTGCATGACAGACATGGCGCCAGTACTGATGACAGACATGCTGGACTGGCCATTGTTTCCTACCTAGGAATTGGTGAGTATGCCTGGTTGTAATCCACTTAGGATACTTGTATCCATTGACGTGCCCGATCCCCCAGGTAGCTTTGGTCTGTTTTCTCCGGATGGGTTTCTGATCTAGAGCTCGCGCGCGCAGGCCGGAAGGCTTCACCGCATTCCAGCACGGGTGCGGGCGGACGAGCTTCCCGTTTGCCACCCGCCAAATGTCATCATGGGCATCCAAGCTGGGTGTGGACCCCCAAAATCAAGGGTTTTCGTTTTGGCTTGCCTTTAGAACCGCAAACATCGGAGGTCCCCTAACAAGACACACCCAGGTGGGTTGCCCACGAAACCTGGCGCCCGGGTGTTGCAAGTAGACCACTCCGCAGGGAGACATGTTTTTTGGATTGGTTTTAGAGGGGGCCAAAAGAAAACCAAATTATTTTGAGGGGTCCCCTGTGAGACAAACCATAGTCCCAACATAGTGGACCTTCCGTTTAAATGGCCTCCGGGCAACGAGCAAATCATATTTTTGAGACATAGCTACAAAAAAGAGACCTGGAGTGATACATGGTTACCATCCATGAAATTGGTGTTTCTCAAAATGGTGGAGCTCCCTTTTGGTTGATATGTCAGGGGAAGCCAAGAGGAAACCAACCATTTTAGGATGCCCTATGTTTAGAACCCTCCCAACTGAGACGACGAGTTTATGTGCCACAAGTCAACGGCTGTGTGGAGTCCAAACAGTCCAACCTGACCCATCGGGGCAAAACTCATCAGATTGGGTTGGTTCCTCCGATTTGGGGAGGCCCGCCATTTCGAGAAACGCCCATGGAAGGGAGTATTTGCCTGGGAAAATCGGAACCTCCCTTGTTTGTAATATTTCATGGATTGGGTCCTCCCTTTTTGTCTCTTTTTTGTTTGCGAAAATTCGATCGCCATGGAACGGAATTCCATTTTTCCAGCCAAACCCTTGGGGGCGGAATCCGACCTTGCGCGATGAAGAACTTGTCCCTGAACGCCGAGGATTTCTGGTTTTCTCGGGGCGGAGGTTCTTTTCCGTTTTTTTGTTTGTTTCCCCGAAAGTTGGAAAAGCTTTGCTCGGCTTCCCTTGTCTTTTGGTGGTGGGGAGTCTTTGTGTGTGGTTTCCCATTTACCCTGAACCAGGGATTATGCCCAAACCGGGCTCCATGTCACTGGAGGATCACCTGATGCCGGAACAAAAGACAAATTCCCCTGCGATTTACTCGATGCGAAGCCGGGGGTCAAAAGGTGCGCTGGGCCTCCGATTTGTTTCGTTTTGAGGTGCCCTACAAGGGAACATAGATGCGGCAAAGCGCCTCAAGCTTCCTGACTTAAATCCTTTTGGAAAGACCATGTTCGTGGCGAATAGAAAGTTTGGCTTGGCCAATCCACTCAGGAAGTGAGGGTTTTGGGTAGCCGTATCAACGGTCCCAAAGGGTGTGAAGAATTCGGGGAGAAGGAACATATGGGTGTGTCTTTTTGTTTTTCAAGGGAACTCCTTGTTTGGTTGGTTGAAAGGGACACCAAAATAGGAAACCGACCATTTTGGAGGTTCCCTGATTTGAGACAAACCAGTATGTCATCCTGGGAGGGGTGTTTTGGGAGTGCCCCAATTTTTAATAAAGTTGCTATGTTCAATTGTTCAAAGTGAGTGGGCGGGTGTGTTGTCCCCCCCTCAATGTGTTCAAGAGTTACTAGCCCCTGCAGTCGAATGTATTGATCGTGTTGGCATGCTCACTGCTGGGCTTATGAACTTTAAACAGTTTGGGAAGACAACTCTAACACCTCCCGCTCAGACCGCCGACATTCCGGGCCTGCTTTCTTATATGGGTCCCTGTTTTTTTTTGGACGTGTTCCATTGAAATTATTCCATGGGAATCATCCTATTGGAATTCTCCCATTGGAACTCTCCCTTTGGAAATCTCTCTTTGGACATTTCCCTTTGGACATTTCCCTTTGGACATTTTCCTTTGGAGTTTTCCCATTGGAATTGTCCTATATTTCCCCTGCATTTCCCCTTCATTTTCCCTTCATTCCCCGTCGATTCCCCTTCATGTCCCTTCATTTGCTTTTCATTTCCTCTTCATTTCCCTGCATGCCCATTTCTTGCCAAGTTGCGGCTGACCCGAGCTGACAGAGAGCTGGTAGGCAGCGGAGCCTGCGACCCCGCCAGGGGGGGAAGCCTTCATCGGTGTCTATGGTGTCGGACATGGGAATGTCGGCGGATTCTGGGGCTTCTCCGGAGTGGGTTGACTAAATTTTCCGAACAGTTGTCTAGCTATATTGTCTTCTTTATTTTTTGTAGCACTGAACTTTTCAGTGATCTTTAGAGTTGAGTTGGGCTTCAAGCACTCCATCAGGCAATCCGCTTATTCGTCGACGGCATTTTTGAGGTGACGCTCACTGTGAAGAAGGGCCACGTCGACCGCTGGGTGGACTGGACACTCGGCCACTACCAGGAGCAGCAATCTTTCGGCTTTCGGCGACGGGCACGGGCCAAGGGAGGCTTTCGGAGCCTTTTCGGAGTTCTTTAGACGGACGGACGTGGTACATGAACTTTGGTGCATTTTGCCAAGGCTTTTGTCAGGACTTTGAAGTGGGGAACCTCCAAAGTGGTTGGGGCTCCCCACCCAAATGATGTCTACGAAGATTCTCCAGTTAAAACAGAGGTGCATTTTGCCAAGGGATGTTAGGACTGAGCAACTGTTTGCCAACTAAGGGGTTTTCCGTATTAAGCCAATAAAAGTAAGTTGGTGGGGGTTGCCCAGGACGTGTAAAGACGGCGGGGGAGGGGGGGGAGGCCAATGGAGTTCTCCTGAGTAGCCGCAAAAAAAAACATGCGCTGTGAGTCAGGGTTTCACCCCAGGCCTGGCTGTACTCTGGCGTGACCAGAACTTATAGATGGTCAGGGAATGTTAGTCTCCGCAACACTTACGGCTAGATATTGTCAGGCAAATTTGGTCTCCGCAGTACTAGTTTACATACGGCCGTCTCCGCAATTTGCGGCTAGAGTCGATAGTCAGGCAAACTAAAATCGTCTGGCAAATACTTGGTTGTCGTTGGGAAACATTTTAATTTTTGCTTCTTGTGGTTTGGTGGGAAATCCAACCACTCAACTGCTAACATTTAAATTGTTTCTCCCCAAACCCAACGTCAACCAAGAATAAAGTTTCGTCTCCTCAGGATTTGCGGCTCAGGGTTGCTGGGCGGAAAGAAGTTGAGCCGCCTTCCACTCACAGGAAGGGGCGCAGGACTAGTCGCGGACTAGTCGCTTTGAATGGCACAGTGTTGGGTCGATGGCGTCTGCCAATCTCAAACCTTGGGGAGCTTTCCTGGAAGGCCCTCCTTCAGGCAATGTTTCTGGTGCATCAACGGCGCGGAAAGGTTGTCTCTCTTGGCAAAAGCCCGAAGTTTGTCTACTTCGGGAACTGCGGCTGAAGCGTTTTTTTTTTTTGGAAATGAAGCCTATTCAGCTCCGCCCCTTCTGAACCCTTACATTGTGTCGTATCATCAACCGGGAAAAGAAGGGTTCCACTCAGACAAGATATGTCTTGTCTTCCAAACTTGTCTGACCTGTAACCTGTTAATCGGTTGGAGATGCGTATGTGTGCAAACAGTCGAAGGTGCAAGTTGGAGGTTAATTCTGCAAGTGCAGTTTCTTATCTCCAGCCGTCTTGCTCCAAGCCTCTAGCTGACCCCCCCCAAAGAAAAATGGTTTGTTTCTGTTTTGGCTTCCTTAGGACCAACTTTCCAGCCTTTCGCAGTCTTTGGAGCCTTGTGTAATCACCGACTTTTGGCTCAGTGGTGAACTTTCAGGCCCGGAGAAGGTGAGGTCGACCACGGTGAGCTCAAATTGCTCCGGTTTTAAGTCAAATGGGAAGGAAGTCTCATGTGGAACCCCCGAACAGGCGGTGGACAACCCTCGTCCACCAAGGGGCCCCCTCATTAAAACATCATACCCAAGTGAGGCGCCCTGTTCTTTTGGGGGTTGGTTTGCGGCAGTGAGGACGTCATGGCTGCAGCGGTGAGTGCTGCTGCGCCGCCCGAGCTGGTGCCAGGGATGCAGAAGGGGACCTGGCTGGGTGTGAAAGTCGGGGGACCCCAAAAGTTGCTTCGGTGTACTTTTCGCCCTTCAATACCACTAGGTCCCCCAGTCGTGCCCTTTTGCCCCTTTTTTTGGGGGAGGGTTCAACCCTACTAAAATTCACTACAGACAAAAAGTTGGTACCCTAAACCCTAACCTCTCTACTGGAGGACCTAGAATATCCAGAGATGCCCATCTGAGCGCCCTCTCGGGAGTCAAGAACAAAAAGGCCCATGGAACAGCAGAATTTCTGAAAGGTGCCTGGGGAAGGCGGCGCTTGCGACGAAAGGAGGTAGCGCCCTCCAAGGCCCTGGTGCTTTGTCGCCCACAGGTGTTTTCGATTCAAACGGTTCCACTGCCATGTTGAAAAACATCTCCCTTTGAGTGAGGTTTCCCATGTCCGACCCAAAGGGTTCCACGGCCATGTTGAAAAACATCTCACTTTGTGTGAGGGGAGGCTTTTCGGGGTTGGTTTAAAGGACGGCTAGAAGGAGAACCGTTGTCACGCTTGGTTCCCATGCCCGCAGATCTCGGAAGGCGTGTGTGAGTTGGCTCTAGAAGATCCGGAGGGTCCGGTTCCTGACAACAAGCCTGTATTTCCCGAACAGAAAGGTTTAAACGTCACCTTTTGGTTGCCAATGTTGGTGGGTCGACTGAAGTTTAAGTGGCCGGTTGCGGAATGCCTGTTTTGACGTCGAAGGGGCCGGCTTTTGAAGGACTTGCTTGCTTTCACGCACCTTGCTGGATGTTGCACAAGCGCGGGTTCAGCTTGCATTTGGGCTGTTCTCCTATATGACGATAAGAAACGAGCTTTGGCGCAGTGCCAGCAAAGCAACTGGCAACTCAAGCCGGGAATGTTCGATCTTTAGGTTGAGGTTGATCTGTGAGGGTTTACACAGCCCATTTTGAGCGCCATTCGAAACGTCAGTGGACAATTGAGCGCAGACAGGTTCAACCCTATTCTCTTCTGAACGCCAAGCTCAACCTAAGTACTTAGGCCCTAGTCCTGCCACCAATCCCATCTTGAGCCTTAGATCAACTTTGACTAGCCCCAGCCAACCCCAAGCCTTGGAGATAGCACGGTACGAACCCGGCCGTCGCCTGAAGCATGTTCGCCACGGCCCAAGCCTTTCCGCTCTGAGCCAAGGTGGTTTTCGTGGATGTGCAGTCGGAGGAGGCGGGGCAAAGGGCTGGCCAATTCTACCAGCGCACCGGTCCCGAACTTGGGTGCCTCGATTTTTGGCTTGGTACCTCTGTTTCTTTTCGGTGGTTTTTTTTTGGGGGGGGCGGCCCCCTAAAGATAGAGACACCCACATGTCCCTCGTCCCTCTTTTGGTGTGCTTTAAGCATCGCCTCTTGGCAACGCAATTTGTGACTCTCACCTTTGGGGGCGATTTGAACATAGGAGACCTGCTTATGTGGGGATTCTGAAAGCCCGGGTCTTGACGGGATAATAGTAAAAACGTTCGACAGGCTCGTGTCCAAGGCGTCAGGCAAAATGGGCAACATGCTTAAGCAAATGCGCGAGGCGTTGGATTGTGCCCGGGCTCACAACTGCGAGAAGGCTGTGACTGAAGTCAAGATAGGCAGTTGCAGAATGGAATGCCTCAAGCACGTGCTCAAACCTTTGATCGCGTGCGGGAGCAGATAGGGCACGGGACACAGCGGCGTCTCGCCAACAGCTTTGGTCATCAGTGTGTGGAATCCGGTCATAGTGATCTTTTTCCGCGGCGGTCACTGTTCTTGTGGCGAATACAGATGTAGCGGAGCTAATTCTGCAGCCAACTTGGCAGACATCGCACAGGCGATGGCCGCGTGGTGATGACGCTTTACGCCTTGGTTTTCGGGGCTGACTCCCTCGCGCGGTTCATCGCAGACTTCAATCCAGCGTGCGACGCAAACAGTGCAGCCCCGGTTGTCAATAAGAGGTCCAACGCGTCAACTGTTTCCAAGTGTCGGCGCGCGCTGTACTCCTCGGTTATTGCCAACCACTTACAGTATTTCCAATGTTCAAACAACGCAGCATGCCATGGTGTTTGCTGACCAACATGGTGCTGGAAACTAGGTAAAACACATGATTGTGGGAGTGAACGCATGGTAGCGTTTTGCAAAGCAATAAACCTCGAGACAACAAAAACAACTAAAACACCAAATTCAGAGGGCTTTCTTGTCCTCCAGGGTTTGCATATGCGGAAAAGAAAAAACAACTCAAAAAACCAAACAACAGCAATACTTAGAGAGTCTGCTTGTCCTCCAGGTCCGTATCTGCACAACAAACCAAAAGACCTCGAGAAAACTCCCCCCGCAAAAAAATACACCGAGACAAACCAAGAAACAACAATACATGGGAACCCTGTGGAAGACTGCAATTTATGAAACTCTCAGAATATTGTGTGTGTGTGTGTGTTTTTGTAGTTTCTCGAGTGTTGTTTTGGTTTAATTTAATCGAGTTTAGCTCAGATGCGGACAACTTGTGAAGACTCTTTGAATATTGTTTTATTCTTTGTTTGGCTTTCTCGAGTCTTTTGTGTCTTTTGGTTGTCTCGTATTTTTTGCACAGACGCGAGCTCAGATGCAGATGGCTCATGGCCCACAAAGGTAACCATTGTACCACCCCGTTGTGCCCACCCATTGGGCCAACCAATGGTCCCATGCGGCTGTGGGTGAAAACCGATGGGATATCATTCTGGGGTAGGTGAATTCATCACCCATTTTAGAACCTATTTCAGTGGGGAGTGGGATGTTCACTGGGGGCTACCCGGGCTTTGACCCATCTGCGTCAAGAGCAGGACCCCTTGTCGCAGCTCTGGGACCTGGAGCGGTGGTTGCTCCACAGCAGAGGCGGGGCCTGGAATGAAAGCTTCGTGGGTCCCGCCCCGGTTTCGGGGGAGTTGCGGGGGTGAAGGAGCGGCCTTGCCCTGGAAAGCTTTTGGTGTGTGAGATGAGCTCTTGGCACGGAGGTTCGGAAGTGGTGTGCTTGGACTTGGCATGGCGGAAATCGAGGAATTCCGGTTGAGGCTTGGGTCCAACCAGTGGAATCCATCTAGCGGATGAGGGTCTGAAAGCGGAGGTGGGTCTGAGCCCAAGGCGGACTGACGCCCTGATTGGTCAGTACATTTTTCCCCCCTAGACGCAAAGGATCTTGACAGATTCCCCTGAAAGACCATCCAAACATGGGGGTTCAGCATGTCGAGGTTTCGCAAAGGTCGATGTAGGCCTTCGATCCCAAGACTGACCGGGGGGCCGATCCCAATGCCTCCGATCCCGATACTGGTTTCTTGACACCCAAAAGGAAAAACCGTCGTGCCATTTCGGAGAGCTTCCCCAAACAGTTGCCCCATATGAGAACTGAGTCCAAATAAATATGGTATGTCTTTTTTTCGGGGCCCCCAACATGGTTTTCCTTTTGGCTTCCAATAAAAAACCACCACAGGTACCAACTGAAAAAAGGGACCACACCCATGTTTTCCTTTTGGCTTCCCTTTAAAACCACCACAGGTACCAACTCAGAAAAGGGACCACACCCATGTTTTCCTTTGGCTTCCGTTTCAAACCACCACAGGTACCAACTTAAAAAAGGGACCACATCCATGTTTTCCTTTTGGCTTGCAATAAAAAACCACCACAGGTACCAACTCAAAAGAGGGACAATACCCATGTTTTCCTTTTGGCTTCCAATAAAAAACACCACAGGTACTCAAAAAAGGGACAATACCCATGTTTTCCTTTTGGCTTTCAATAAAAAACCACCACAGGTACCAACTCAAAAAAGGGACAATACCCATGTTTTCCTTTTGGCTTCCAATAAAAGCGACCACAGGTACCAACTCAAAAAAGGGACAAGACACATAGAAACAAAAAGCAACTGCCCCATCTCCGAACACTCCGCTCTCAGGCCCTCATCCCTGGGACCTTGCCTGGGTCCTGGACGACGGCGTGGCAGGCAGATCGATCCATGCGGCGATTTGTGGAAGATCCTTTCAATTCTGGTGGAAAGGGGGGGGTTTGTCCCAGTCAAGGCCTTTGTTTTTTTGTTTACCCCGACAAAGTAAACTTTTTGCAGAGGATTCAACAGCAACCAAGTTCTACTTGGTGGAACAAAAAAGGGGGGTTTGACCCAAAGGGCACATTTTGGCGTTTTACCTAGTGAAAAGCCTGTTCAGGTCTCTTTAAATGTGCTCCACAGGTGGGACCTGTTAGCTCCTGCTGCAAGCATTTCGGCAGCGTATGTGGTCAGTTTGGTTTGAAGATATCTGGATTCCACATCATCTTCCAGGGGGACCCGTTCGCTTTCCAACAGGAGACCTATGCTTGACAGGCGCTTGTGCGGCATCAGCCCTTGGCTGCCAGCCCTTGTGGCTCGGAGGGTTGACCAAGTCGAGACTTTGTTGCATGGTTCGTACACGGATGCCGCCCCTGGGTATGTGTCGCCTCTCGCTGGCTCTCTTCTCTTCGGTGATTTTGTGATTCGACTGGCACCTCTTCTCGCTCGATTCCAGTATGCTGAGCACACATACACACAACGCCAGACCACATTCTCCTTGAATCTGCCTCTGTCAAACTTCTGTGATTATTTGGGCGCCCGCCGGCTTGTTTCTCCTCGCGGGTCTGCCTCAAAACGGGGAACCTCGCTTTGGAAGTGGTCTTCCCAACAAAAGGCTCACTTCTGCCGATTTAACATGTACCCCGAACCCATGGTTGTTGTTGGGAAACATTGTACATTTTGCTTATTGTGGTTGAGTGGTTGAACTCCAACCACTTAACTGCTAAAAACTATTTGTTTGCTCCCCTTGCAACGCCAACCAAGAAACCTACTGTGGATGGACGAAATCCTGCAGCACTTTGAAACCATGGGAAACCATGGTTTGTTGGTATTTTCAGGGGAATCATCATTCTAGGGTTTCTTGGGTTCGGGATTTCGTCCATCCACAGTATCCTCGCAAGGAATCCCCTTTTCGGACCCCCCGTCTGAGTGGATTCGGTGGGCCATCCTCGGCAGGCGCGGCGCTGCTGGCCTGTGAGGAGGATCGTGCCGCGCGGCTGCCGAGCGTCGTGCCCAAGGCTGGCAGACGTCGAGAGGCTTTTTGGCCAGCTTGGAGGTTTCGAAAAAGTCTAGGGCTACCTTCCCCATTCTTTCCAGGGATCCTTCTTGTCAGGAAACCTTCAAAAACCCAGGGAAACAGCTGGTTTTGGAAAAGAACGAGGGTTGAAAAGAATGGGGAATCAACCCCTAGAAGAATTGGGGGATCCCAAGAACTGGTTGGTGTCCTTTGTTTCTCTTTCGAAAAAGGGCTTGGTGTATCCCTTTGGATGCTCTTTCCAAGGAGGGGGGCGGATTCCCTCAAAGAGGAGCACGTCGGCCTGCCTCGGTGCCTCACTGCCACGGGATCCTCAAAACTGGTTGGGTTTCATTCTGGTTCCCCTTGGCCGTCAAAAGGGGCCCATATTATTAATAAGGACTCCGCAAACGAGAAATTCAGCAGCACACGTACAACCCGAATCACACAGAGTACGATAGTGTCCTACCCAACCTGAGTTGCAAAAACGCCCTTCTGGCTCGTCTTGGGTTCTCACGAACTCTCAGCTGCAAACAAGCCTTTCAGCCTCCGTTGCACTGCTATTTACTTCCACTCCAGAATTTCAGGTCAACTGGTCACAGCAACACAGCTTTCGAACCACACCAATGTCTGCTCGCACACCGTAACACATGACCAAGGATCACTTTCCCATTTGGTGGCGAACGTCATCCGATTGGTGGCTTCCCAATGGTGACCCCATGTAAAGGACCTTTTGATCAACCCCAACATTCATAGCAGAGTTTCTTGGACATGGCAACGTGGACACGTGTAACAACCTGTAGGCAGAAGTGTCGCGAAGGTCCGGATGTCGCGAAGGTCCGGATGTGAATGAGCACCTTGACTGTCGAACCTACCAATGGCTTTGGTTATTTTCCTGGGCGCAAATGCAGACTTGAGACCAAGCCAGTGCTTAGATGCCTGCAGTCACATTGGTCGAAGCAAGCAGCTTTAGGCCTTTAGGGTCACACTGGCAAGACCCGGTTTGCTTTCTGGGGTCTCATGCCTTGTTTGACTGGAGTGTGCGAACATCCACAAGGGGAAAAACAATCACCGTGCTGCCGAAAGAGCAGTCGCCGGATTTCGGTGTCCTTGGACACGGCCGTTTGGATTTGGGGAGGTAGCTCGATATTTTTGTGGCCCAACATTTGGGAGTTCTGTGCATGTTGCAAGGCCCAGGATTGAGCACTCACTCAACATGTCATCCTGATGAACCTCTAATCTGTGTCTTTTTTGGTGCTGGTCCTTTCTTCCGGTTTACATGCATGCACACATACTTACATATTTAGGATGTGGATGATCACCGACGCTTCTTGGTCTGAGCAACACACCGCTTCCGCCGGCCTTAACCGCTCAAAACGGAGCCCTCGGGCAGGCTGGGATGATTCTGATGAAGCCGCCGGTGCCCTCGGTGGTGTCATACTACAGAATCCATCACTTCGATGGTAAATCGCTAAATGGCTAGCTGGTTGTAACCCAGACTATATGATTTGCTGGTGCATTTCTATAGCAATAATACTTATTTCTACAAATGGCCACCCTGTACCCATGTCCCTTTCCGGTTAGGGGGTCCAATCTGTCGGTAGCCTTCTATGAGTTAAGCATGATGTCGGGGCTCTTTCGCCCATGTTCAAGCGCACCTCATCAGCCCAGGATTTGGGCATCGAACTGCTCGGGGGTTGAGAGCGTTGAAAGGTCCTGTTTGGATTGAGACGATACGCAAATCCACAGTTTTATTGGGCTGTCAGGTTTGGGAATGGGTCTTCTCCCGTCCTTTTTATAATTTGATTTTGGTGGAACACAGATGGCGATTCCTGGTTGACTTGGTTGTTTAATAGTAGGGCCATCTATTTTCCCAAAAGGACACCTATGCTCCTAATCAACATAGCATTCCCAAATGGGTTCCGTCCAAAGGAGATTCCGCAATGCCGGTATGGGCTCTTGTTTTGGCAGGGGCCCCTCAATTTTGTCGGACCTCCCAAAGTGGCACATGTTCACAGGAAATCCAACCTCAAAATGTCATGCTTGAAACAAAAAAGCAGACCTCGGATTTCTACACTAGCAGGGCGGCTGTTGGCGACCCCTGTGTTCGTTTGGGGACCGGACTGAGGCAACAAGCGTCTCTTGACTTGCTGAGAGACCTGCGCTTCCTGGACAAGATTCATCACTTTGCAGGCGAGAGACGCGGGGGGGTCCTTTGGGCAACTGACGGAACAACCAGGGGTGGCCGGCAACCTTAACGAGGTCCCCCAGTAGTGCCCTTTTACCAACTTTTTTTTGGGAGGGTTCCCCTACTAAAATAGACTACGGAAGAAAAAGGGTACCCTTATTCTATCCTCTCTGCTGGAGGACCTAGTTAAGACAGTTTGTCCATGGTGTGTTCTTGTGCTTGAGCTTGTGCCAGGATCTCCCAAACACCCCATCCAAACCCCAAACACACCTCGTCTGAGTCCTCCCAAACGGCGTGTGCTTTTTTGTGTGGCAGTACCTAGCCCCTGAGACCGTTTGGACACACATGGCTTTTCCCTTAAGCCGACAAAAGATCTAACGACCGTTTGCTCAATCTGGAAGACTCTCACCTGGCGTTCCCTTTGGGTCCCAAAACATGTGAGAGCGCTATATGTCTAGATCCTTTGGACGCAAATTCAATGGACCTCAAACCTCTAAAGGTCTTAGAGCAGCCCATGGCTCTGCCAAATGAGGAAGCGCACATGGGCGTTGTTGTTCTAGACTCCCTCCCCCGAGAAAAAAGAAGAAGCAGTGGCTTCCAGAAAGGGTAGCCTCAACAAAAAAATGCAACCTCAAATGCGCACGGCGCCCTCAAAACATGGGTTTTCTCGGTTTTCCCCTTCCAAGGGGCTTTTGGGAGCTCAAAAGAAGTGTCACCTGGAGTGAGGTGCCTCCCCCGTGGCCTCCATTTGGGGCACCGTGCTGGTGCAGCAATCCCGGCATGCGCCTTGGCAGCCTGGCATCGCGTCTCTGAGATCTGATACCCAAGTTCGCCTTTTTGGAAGGATGCCCCTGTCATAGGGGTCCTTTTTGGTTGGTTTGCTTAAGAAATAGAGGGCCCTGGCTTAGATGGGCCATCTATTTTTCCAAAAGGCCACCTGTGGCCCCTGGTTTTTGGTTGGCCCTGGAACAGGGAATTTGCGAGGATGCCCCTTTTCTTTGGTCGGTTCTAAAGGGACATTTTCGAGGATGCCCTGGTTGTTTCTCTTTTGAAGGGAAGCCAAGAGGAAGCTGTCTTTTTTGGGAGGATGCCCCTGTTTTTGCTGGGGGTTCTCAAAGGGAAGTCAAGCGGAAAGCCAACATGTTTGGGGCCCACAGGAATCTGGATGATTTTGTGGTGTTGAATCTTGGGGACACGAGCGAATTCACCCATGTGACCGTCGTCCAAAGCTGACCTTTTGACCTTTTGGCTGTCCCATTTTGGTCCGTTTCAGTCATGGCCCCAAAAGGTAACCTTCTATTTCCATCTCCTTGGGTCAAGTAAGCTATGTTTTCTTTCGAGTCACTTTCACTTGCTCTACGCAAACTCACTTCCCCAGCTGGACTTATACCCGTTTTGAGATCGGACCACTTTACCGGCAAACGCAAAGTTTGGACTCTTTGGGCCATCCACTCACGTGAGCGAAAGGATGACCAAATCGCGTGATCGGACCGGGTTCGAAGGTGCATGGTGAAAAGGGGCCGATCCGCTCTTAAGATTCTTAAGGGGGCCATGGGTCAAAAGCTCGTACCCCCAGTGAACATCTCAATCCCCACTAAAATAGACTAAATGGGTGGGGCACCTACCCCAAAACGGGATCCCATTGGTTTTGACCCGCAGCCGTTTAGCTTTTGACTTAGGGATTTGGAAGAAACTGGATATGAGCCCGTCGCAGCAGCTCGCCTGTATTTCCTCCTGTCTAAAGCAAATCGACGTTCTGGCCCTTGACCAGCAAAGATACAGTTAGGGTCCTGAGAAGTGAATGTAATTGACTCTCCCAAGAAAAGTCTGATATATTATTTTGGTTTCTACAGACATACGCCCCGCGCAATCGAAGGTTCCTTGTTTCCTGACGGACATGGACCTTTGGTTCTTTTGAGCGCTTTGTGTTCGACTTACCCGAGTTGACAAACTCCAAGCTTGTTGTTGGTCGATTTCTTCATCACTTACTTCCATTTGCTGAAATGGTGTTTTCTTTTTAGTTTCCCTTGTTGGTTTTAACGGGAAGCTCTCACTACTGGACATATGTTCTTATTTTTTCCAGTAGGCGAAAACTTCTGGCAGGTCGGGGCTTAGTCAAAAGCCCAAGCCAGGTTTTCCATGGCGCATTTATCTGTCCTTAGAGTGCCTTTCTTGCCACTTGTTTGTTGGGTGGCTGGTGTTCACTTCCTTGTGTTGTTCTTGGCAAGTTGTTTTGTTGTTTATTTTTGGGTTCTGTTTATTTTTAGTAGGAGGCTGCAAAACACACAGTTGTTTGCCACCATACCAAGGGTTGTGGAATTCAGTTTCTGGACTGGAATCATTGTGGTAGATTGAATAGCTTGCACTCCTTGGGCCAATCTATTCATGAAGCAAGGGCAAAACGGTGGTGCGTCCCCATTTGGCTGCAAGAACAACTTGTTCAACTCCCCCAAGGTATTTGTCAAACCCGGCCATTTTGGAGTTTGTTGAATTTGCCCACCCCGCGTTGAGTCATGCCAGCTTGCTTCAAAGATGCAGTGGGGATAACCCACATGAACCGCTGCAAAGCCCACATAAACCGCTGCAAAGCGGATGTTGTCCAGCCGCAGTACTTGTGGGGCGACAACCAAAGATACACTCCAGCGATCGTAGTGTCATGGTGGAAAAGAGTTCTGTACAGAGCAGTTGGCTTTTTGGTTTCCCTCAATCCAAAAAGAGAAGCGGCGCGGATGGGAGGCAACCTGAGAACCTCCGTGGCCCACAAATGTGCATTAAGTCGTTTCCCATGCTCTGAGTTTTCGGTCTCAACCAGGCATGTATTCAATGGTGAACAAGTGGTTGGTGGACGTACACCTAAATGATGTCCACCAACGGGTCTAAGTTGCACACCCATGTGTCTCCGGGTTTCCGTTCGGTGCGAGGGGATGGGTGACTGGTTCAAGACGCATGCGAAGGAGACACGGCACTCGGCCATGCGGTTTGGATCTTGGCGATTTGGGAACGGATCTTTGGACTTTAAGCTCTTGGTTGAAACAGGTAGGATTTTCAACGAATTGGACCCACAAACAGCGAACCCTTTTTCAGGAAGGTCAACAGAAAAAAAGTTGAAAAGCAAAGCTCGATGATTTCGTTGGGCACCCATTTGTTGGTCACGGCTTTGGTTGCCAAAGGTTCCTGGTTGCACCCTTCCGCAATTTCATTGCCCGAGCCAGGCTGTTTGAACATGGGGCGGGTGTTTGACCATGTTGAAAGGTGTCCCGCGCTTCCACTTAACACCATGTCTAACCAAGGGAAAGCGCACCATTTGTAGCTCAACGGGGAAAACAAACCACTACCAAGCCAAATCGTTCAAACAAATCTAGGGCTTTCTGCCCTTTGAGTATTCCAAATGGGCCCCTTGAAACAAAATGCAGACCCCCTCCACCTCTTTCTGTATTTTTCAGGGGACCCCTTCAAAAGAATGATTTTCCTTTTGGTGTTCCTTCAAAATCACAACAAGAACGAGCACCCTCAACAAAAGACACACCCAAATGGGTCCTGTTTTTGGAGGGTTCCTCTTTCTGGATGATCTTTCAATCAAACCAAGAGGGAGGAAACCGCCTGTTTTGGGCGTTTCCCTATTCTCAGTTAAAAGCGAATCAACCCGTGAGCTCTCGGATTCCCCATTTTGCCCATTTTTTAGTCCCCCCGAAAAGGTGTCTTAGGCATAGTGCATGATCCCCATGTATAGGTGCCTTGGCCGCCTTTTAATTCCTGAAGCATGGTTGGTAGGCCATGTTAATACCAGCTTGTGATCTTTGTGTCATGGGTGTTCCCACTTGAAAAGCCGCGCGCCTGTCGTTTTGGCGTACAGCCGTGCTTTGCTTCGTTTGGGATTTGGATCACTCGCGCTTTTGATCACGACCCAACTTTCTATTCCTTTTTGTTTTCTCCTGTTGGTTTGAAGAGAATCTATCATTATTGGACATATGTTCTTTTTTTTCCAGGAGACATATCCGCAAATGGAGGTTAAATCCTTCCAACTGGTTGGGATTGGTGGTTTAGATTGGCGAGAACCCCCCATCTAGCCGCAAAAAAAACACCAATCTAGATGGGGTTTCGAGACAACCTTTTCCAACCTTTTCCAAATGACTCAGTTTGGATTGCTGAGAATCATAACCACCCCGTTTTCTCATTTCGCCACTTTGTTGGTTTTAGGGCATGGAGCTTAAATCCTTCCAACTGGTGAGGATTGGTGGTTTAGAGTGGCGAGAACCCCCATTTAGCCGCTACCCAGAGGCTCCTGGGGCTTTCAATGGAAGACCCGACCCCTCCATTAGACACCCCGGGAATTGGTGGTTGGGGGTCTCAAAACCTGGCGGTTTGAAGGCAACCTTTATCAATCGAATTGGAGCCTCTAGAAAAGCTTTGAGTCCCATCCACGCTGAGTCCTGCGAGACTAAGACCCGGGACAGCCGACAGGACTCGGCCTGGCCGTGGTGGCGCCGCGTGATCCTGCCGGCAGGCGGGGGCCTTTTTTTTTGCCGAGGTGGTCGGGGGTCTCAGAACATGGCGTTTTTTTGGCTTTTGGGTTGAATATATGTATGACATTATTAATATATGTATGTAGGTATATATGTAAAACATATGTATATGTGTATATATATATACAGATACCTATATAACTTAACAGAACCTGAAGATGTTTGTTGTTTGGTGCACCCTGGGAGTTGGGCCAAGATTTCCTTGGCAGTTTTTCTTGGGATCTGTCGGCCCTGGAGCAACGGGAGGGTAGTCTGAGGCGCTTTGGTGCGTCAAATTGGGACGTGGCAGGCGAGGAGTCGTTTCAACAGGGATGCCAACATGGGGGGAGGGTGGTGTTGCTTTGTATGTTTCTTTAAACCAACCTCAAAGAGGGTACCCTCAAACATCCACACTTGCTTGTTTTTGCGTTATTTTGTTCTTGTTCTCTTGTATAGAATTGGATTAGCTAGTGATAAATCACCTAAATTAATTCCTCGTGTAATAACTAGACGTCTCACTTCAAAAGAATTATCAAACCAAAAAGTGTTTATCGAAAACAAATAATCATTTTTAACGAGAACATTTGAGAAATTCAAGGAATGGGAGAAGACTATTTTTTTGCTCATAACAAATGCCCAATTCTTCCTTGCATTCCTTCTTTTCTAATTTCTCTCTTATTCATATCGTCCTTTCTCTCTCTCTTTTCTACTCGTCTCTTCTCTACTCTTTCTCTCTTATTCATATTTTATCTTTGGAGGCCGGACTTGGTGTGACACCATGACAACGGTGCACGGACCGAAACTCGGAGGATCCCTTTGGAAGAAAGCCCCCCCATCTTGGGTTTGTCTTAAATGGGGAATCCCCCCAAATTGACAAAGCGGTTTTCCAGTTGGTGTCCCTTCAAAACCAACCCACAAGGGGGTTCCCCTAGGAAAGCACACACGCCCACACCCTTCTTTTAAACAACCTTGTCAGGCCTCCCCGGAAGTCTCTCGATCTTGTTGTCAGGGAAACATTGCGATGTGTGCGGTTCTCTTTGTAGAAAGGTTTGGTGAAAGGCTCGATGGAGGGCTCGATGGAGACGGCTCGGTTACCAAAAAAAGCGCCGTTTTGCTTAGAAGATGTTCGAATTTGTTTGCTTCAACGCCGTTTTGCTTGAAAGATGTTCGGTTTGTTTGAATTTGTTTGCTTCCAGAGCTAGTTTGCAGGAGTGTCATGCGTTTTGGGCCGCGCTCGGACCTCAGGTAGTTTTGCCCTCAGAGGCAAGCGCGCGTCAGTGTGGCTTCCGGCTCGCTCAGCTTGCCCCTCCATGGCTTAAATGGCTCTGGCTCAAAAAATCCGGGAATTTTCCAAAATGGCTTGCCCGATCGGTAAGTGGAGACATGGTTGCCAAAACCAACCGGTAGCAAAATGGAACCCTGGTAAGTGGAAGCATGGCTGCCAAAACCTGCGGTTTGCCCCTCCGATCGTTTAGTTTTGAGCCACACCCAAAGCTGAGAGAATTGTTTGTATCACAACGTGCGCCCTCCGAGGCGGGCAGCAACAAGACAAGGCTAGACATTGTAGAACGAGGCATTGGATGTGGCCGCGATTTTTGGTGAAGAATAGCGTCACCTAATCAGGCTGGCCCCATGATTTCTGTGTGGTTGTAGCCTACCTGACGGCAAATGGGGCTGAGATTGTGAGTTTTATACGTCACCTCGCTGGCCTCGTCAGCTCAGGTCAGGAAATCACCTCAAGTATGCCTGCAAACCCAACCATGGCAAGCAAAAACTATACTTGAAGTGGCCATGAGTTTGAACGGTTGCAAAAGCCTCACAGCCAACGACGGGTCCATTTCTGAAATACAAGTAGTTTCCAAAGAGGTTCAATATTTGACAGGCTTTTGCATCATTGCTTCCTGGAGATTCTCGTTTGTCCCAACGCTGTAAAAGTGCAGTGGTTAGCCATGAGCTAGAAGGTAACATCTTCAAGCTAGACTAAGATCGGCTTGAGTAGAGTTGTTCCGTCTATGAAGACATGCATTGTCAATTGAATTAACCAACCAACTAAGTAATTACTTGCTCAGTGACATCAAGAACTATCTAGCACACTGAAAGTCAGGTGACCTCCAAACCACCCTGCCCGGCCCTGCTCCTGGTAGGGAGGACGCCCTAAGATGCCCTAAGCAACCGAGGTGTAATTATTCAACACACGCGAATTCACCAATGTGTTCAGGTTTAAACTTATGGGTTTAGGATTCAAACCAGAGGATAAATGAATTGGACACCCCCAGACCTCCAAACCCCCCGCCCCCCGCCCCCCCCCGGGCCCCGACGCCCCTCGGCCGCCAGGCGTGGTTCAGTGCCTGGGCGCCTCACAGCTTTCGGCCGCGGCGCGGCCGCAGTCGGCAGAAGCGTCCCGCGGCGCATCCGCCGGCCCGCGGTGGGCGCTGCGGCGGTGCGAGAAGTTCTCCACGGGGAGTGGTGGGGGATGGTGGTTTGGGGGGGGGTTCACTTGGGTCAAGGTTGGGGTTCATGGAAGCTCTCAGGGCTCATGTAAATTGAACCAAGTCTGCCAAAGTAACATCTTGCATTCTTTCCCCTTGACTAAGATGTTGCCGCGAGTTTCCTCCAAACGCGTTCCGCGCGTTTCAATCGCGAGGACGGGCTATTGCGCCTTGAACCCCCAGAAACCCCGCGGCTTTGCGCCGGACAGCCGAGAGAGACGATGTCGTCAAGAGTTGCTCGCCCTTTTGGTCGTTCTTGTGGTTTCAAATGTCCAAGGAACACCACAGAACATCTTGGGGGTCACCAAACAAACACCGAGAGTGAAAGAACCAGGCACACACGAGCAATATGAGCAGTGGACAATATTGCAGGACCCAAGCTGGTGGTTTGTCCCAAACGAAGACCTTTTTTTTCAGTTGCACCCTGGTGGTTTCAGAGGTCGTTACCTGAATGCCCACCTAAATGATTCCCCCAAGGAGCTCCCACAGGAAATTTCGCACCAATATGAGCCACGCAAAATCGGGGAAACTGGGTGGGCCTGCGCAATTGTGGGTCGTTTGGTTCGTGGCAGCTGGATGTTAGCTTTCTTAGGTACGCGTCAACATACGGTAGGACTCCTGAGGGTGATTCCCTTGCTTCCCGTCAAGCCAAGCTCAACAAGGATTCCCTCCAAAACCGGACATCCCCCTTTTCATGGGTTTGTGTCAAAATAGGGGAAGCCCCGTGTCCGGTTGGTTTCTCTTTAAAGCCGTCCAAAAATGGTACCCACAAAACACACACACACACACACCAGATTTGTAGAGCCTGCTACCACCACTTGGATGTGAAGTTCTGTCCTTACTGTGGCGTATTTTTTGGTGCACGCCGGCCTCCAGCAAGCCAGGCTCGACTCCCTTCGGGGAAGCCAGGATCAGACTCGACTCCACCACTTGTGTGACCTAGTCCCCTAGTCCCCGTGTCCCCAGTTTGCTCTGAGTCCTTATCGCCATTTGTCACCCGAATAGTTCCGTTTCTGGGTCTTATCAAAGTCGGAAGTTGGAGTGGGTTTCCCTTGAACCTGCTGTGGATGGACGAAATCCTGGACCACTTTGAAACCATGGGAAACCATTGTTTGTTGGTACTTACAGGGGAATCATCATTCTAGGGTTTCTTGGGTGGTGCAGAATTGCGCCCATCCACAGTACCACTCATGGTGGGGCCAGCCAGGACGCGGCAGGTGTCTTGATTGGCCAGTTTTGGGTTTGGGCCGGTTGACCACCACACGCTCGTTCGGCGCACGGTTCACAGGTATCTCACTGACAACTGTGGCTTTCCCAGCAACTACAGCCCAGGAAGGACGGGCCGTGCCAATCCGCGTGTCGAATTCCAAACACTTGCGCTGGGATGGAGTTAGACTAGTTACCCTCCCTGCCAACACTTCATCTGAGGGGGCTTGTTCAAGAGTAACTTGATCTTCCAGGTAGCCTATAGAGGTGCCATGCTAGTGCGAGCAAGGGGTTGATGATGATTCTCCTGCAAATACCAACAAACAATGGCTTGCCATGGTTTTAAAGTGGTCCAGGATTTCGTCCATCCAGTAGGAAAGTCCTCGAGGTGCTTTCCTGTGCCTTCTCCATGTCCCGCAGGCGCAGGCGTACCTGCATGGCTCTGACAGCCTTCCCTGGTAGAAGTAGAAGACTTCTTTACCAGGGCCCTATGAATTATAGGTTTGGAGCTGGCAAGACTTCCATTTGTAGCTAGACTCCCTACAGTCACAGAAAAAACCGAGACTAGATGGGAGAATTAATTGACACTCCCGTAGCTTTTTGTGATTCCTTGTGCTAAGCCACGGAAAATCGTTGGACGAATGGCGCTCAGAGAGTGGCAGCTCGGCTCGGCAGCTCGACGTGCAGGAGAGTGAACGCAGATGGGCAGGCGGGGTGGGTGTGGGCGGTGTGGGGTGGGGCCCCAAGGTCACGCGGAAACGCCATGCCGGAAACGCCATGCTGGAAACGCCATGCTGGAAACGCCATGCTGGAGTTCCAAGTCGTGGGGCGAGCCAGAGGAAGGTGTGCGCATTTTTTGTTTTTCAAAGCTCGGGCGAAAACAGAACATAACCCCAACGGGTGGGCCCCCTCAAGTCGCGCATCGTTTATGTGGAGCCAGAGCTTGAGGCAAGCTTTTGGACCCCCGCCGTCGAAACCCGCCCGTTCGTAGCGAAATTGGGCGGAAGAGTCGATGAGTACATACTGAAAAAGAAGAACCGATGTTGTCCGAGCTATCTTGGGCACTGAAGGTAACTTTGTTTAGGCAAACCATGGCAAGCCCCCCGCAGCATAGAGCCCCTAGCTCAGCTTGCTTGAAAACAGATGGTAGTTTGGCTAGAAGCATCTACTGATACCATCTATGTTTGCAAAAGGACACCCAGACTCCAAGCTCTCAAGAACAGTTTTAGCGAACATTGCATATCGCAAAATGCTATAAGTACACCTAGCCACGCTGTTGCAAAAAAGCGAGCTCCACTGAGCGTTGCACGCGACTGCGTAGGAGGAACGTATCGTGGTGTCCCTGAAGCAGTCGCAAGAGGCTCGACGCGCGTTGAGCGATTCGGCGCGTTTGAGCGCGTTGCTGTTAGGTCACCCGCTTAAGGATAGCATCGGAGAAAAGAGGGCGACCTCGGACATGCCATTGGGGTGTGTCTCTTTTTAGAGGGTATACCCTTTTTTGGGTCTTTTGAAGGAAAACCAAAGGAAGGGGAATGCCCTTGTAAAATTAATACCCATATGTTCACTGGGCGCCTCTTAATTGCCTGAACCAGGACTTCTTCGAGCGGTTAGATGATCAAACCACGAGGTGCTTTGGTTTCCCTTGGGTCAGCTGGAGCAAGCCCGCAAGGGTCAATAGGGGTGCGTTTTTGAAGCTGTCCTTTTCACTCACCTTGATTGAAACGGAAACGACAAAGAACCCCGCCAGTTTGGGGGGGGTTCCTCCTGTGGATGGACAGGATCCGCTTCGCACCGCTTGGTAGGTGGTTCAGAACACATGTTTTGATAATTTCGTTGGATGTCAACTCACAGTACAGGTAGGGAGAAATGAGTTCCAGTAAATTCCCATGGCTTGTGGTTGATTTACTTGCAATATTTAGGGCATCCACCGGAGCATGCGAACTCAAGGTACTCAACCACCGTAAATTACACTAAATTCGGGTTTCCAACTGGTTCCCTACTTGCAGTACGAGTGCGTGTGTGCGTGTGTGCGTGTGTGCGTGTGTGCGTGTGTGTGCGTGTGTGCGTGTGTGCGTGCGTGCGTGCGTGCGTGCGTGCGTGTGTGTGTGTGTGTGTGTGTGTGTGCTTTTTTTGGGGGGGAACCCGCCGAACCCAAATCGGTGGTTTTCCTTTTGGTTTCCCTTTAAAACCGACAGAAAGGGGTCCTGTCCTTTGGGTTCCCCCCCCAAAAAGTATCCTCAAAAGGAAGACAGCCCCATACTGTGGAGGGACGACATCCTGCACCACTTTGAGACCATGGGAAACCATTGTTTTCATCCTTCCAGGGTTTCTTGGTGCGAAATGGATTTCGCAACCATCCACAGTGCGGGGGCTCTGTGCTCGGCCGAGTTCTTCCTCTGCCCCCGGAGAGTGCCGCTGGCGGTGCTGGCGGTGCCGAGGGCGGGGTCCGTGAGTGTGGCCAACTGGATGGTCCGGACGCCCAAGCGGCAACTGGATGGACAACTCGCGCCAACTAGGTCCCCCAGTAGTGCCCTTTCTCACCCTTTTTTGGGGGGAGGGTTCCTTTCGCAAAATAGACTACAGAAAACAGGGTACCCTTACTGATGCCAAAGCTTTCAAATGGCCATGAATTTCAATGGGGAACCCCTCCGCCCAAATGGGTGGTGGACATAAACCCCTCAGTAAATTCACACCCAAATATGCTCGCCATCTTTTGTATGGGACCAACATTGGCTTCGGTGTTCCTTGTGGTTTCCCTGTAAAACCCCACAAATTGGGGGGGGGGGGGCTACCCTCAAAAAAAGTACCGCAGCCAAATGAACCTGTCTTTTGATATTATCCCTTGTGGAGTGGCGGGAGGACCTGGTGTTCATCAGCGAGCATGAGGGTTCATGTTAATAATGTGAATCGGCGATTTTTTGCAGGGATTCGGGAACAAAAACAAAAAAAAGCAAAAACATAGACACGTAGCCTATGGGCGATTTTTGGCACCAAGTTGTCTGTGACATCAAGCTTATATCCAAATGCTGGTTTCAAGGGGAACCCCACAAAAGTCAGTTTGAGAAGCTTTTGGGAAAACATATGCATCTTGAGGATACCCCTGGCGAAACTTTAAGCTCTCCACCCAGACCTGGGCCTAGCCGCCTGTCTCGGCTTGGTTGCCTCCAGATCTGCTCGCGCGGCCCTTCCTTGCCGTGGCCGTTGTGTCACGTTCCACGTTCATCATGCCGTCACCAGCGACTACGTTTTGCCTGAAACTCCTGGCACACGGCTGGCTCACATTTGGTTCCTTTCAAGGCTTCTGGTTGGCTTGGAGTAGACAATAGATGGCGATGCCTGGTTGGTCTGGTTGTTTCATTATGTAAAGGGGAAACCCATCTATTTCCCCAAAAGAGCACCTATGCTGCGAATCGACATGGAAACCCCAAAAGGGCGCCGCCCAAAGGAGGTTCTGATATGCTGGTATCGGCTCCGTTTTCTGCAGGGCCCCTCAATGTTCCTGTTTTTGGACCTCCCAAATCGGCACATGTTTACAGCAACCCGCCAGCAAAGTGCAACCTCAAAATTTGATGCTTGAAGCACCAAAGCAGACCTCAGGTTTCTACACGAAGTTTGATGGTTGAAGCAAAACAGACCTCTCGACCAAGCGCCGCAAAGCTGCCAAGTCTTTGACCAGCTCGGCTCCATCCAGGAGCTGCATTTCCTCAAACAGCAGGCACCAGCCAAGTGGCCGATGCAACTGCTGCGGCGAATTGGCTGTGGGTCAAACCAATGGGATCCCATTTTGGGGCACTGGGGCTACGGGATTTTGACCCATGGCCAATTGGTCGAAAACGCAGAACATCTCCGGCGACTTAAGGCAACTCGTCGGCAACTCTGCCGAAACATCTAGCGTCTTGGCCGATGCTCTGGTAGCTTCCCGTTGTGCGGCTCCCAGAGATCATGCGCCTCTGTTGAAGGTGCTGGATGAAGGATAAGCTGTGTTGCGGTTTTGGCCTTCTGCTCGTCCGAGTCTAACACTTGGCCTTCAAGAAAGCAAGATCCTGCAGGGAATGGCTGGTACAAGTTGCAATCGGCAAGCACTGACAGGATCGAAATCACTTATGTATGAGCAGCAAGGGTCACCATCGTTATAGCTATTCCAACTTTCCCGAGTTCGAGCTTTTTTGCAGACTCTCGAAACCTCGCAGAAAAGGCGGCAAGCAAAAGCTTCAACTCTCCTCTCATGGCACTTCATGTAGCCCATGCACAACCTTTCCGCGCAAATAAATGCGGGAAATGGCGCTCCACATCCAGGACTCCGCATTGGACCCTTCACGTAAGACACTCCGAGGAATCTTCTTTGGCACAGCCGCTCCTTCAGCAGCCACAGCTCACCGAACCGAACACTTCCCGCCGCGAAACATACGAAAACTGCTTCCAGCTGCGCAAAAGACGCCCCGCCTCCTCGCTGAGCTTCTCAAAGATCTCACCAGGCCGCATTGGCAACCAGAGTCGTCCGCCGCGGGAGCAGCTTTTTGCCTGGCTGTGGCTCAAAAAACCGGTACCCAAAATGGACGCCTGGTAAGTGGAAACATGGACCAACACCTGCGTAACCCCCCCTGTTTAATTTTGAGCCACAGCCATTTGCGTTCATTGGCCAAGTGGCGCAGGTTGCAAAGAGCCACAGGTTGCTCTCCAGGACATGTAGCAAACTTCGCCTGGATCACGTAGCAACAAAGACTTTGCAAAGGGGGAAGTCGAAAAAATCAGCGTTTTCGAGCGCACGAGGCAGACACCACTCCACACAGGACTCAGAACACTCCATTCAATGCAGCGCTCATGGCCAACTCAACCGTGACAATTGGACAAATCGACTCCACGTAGGACAGTTCGCGTAACGTAGAATGTCCTTGGCAAAACACCTACTAACTACACTTCAATCAGGACAGTCAATGCAAAACGCTTCTGCCAGCGCAGTCAACAAAAGACAGTTCACGTAGGACAGTCCCCGTGGCAAACTCTCATTACGGGTAGCTTGGCCAAAGACATCCACATGGGACAGTTCACCTACCCCAGGAAGGGGGACAGCCCGCGCAGCAAGCTCCTAAAACACCTGGCGTCAGAGACCTCACAGACAGTCAAAGCAGGAGCCTTTCCCAGCGCAGCGAGCAGAAGACACTTGGATGTCCAACCAAGTTAGTATGAAGGATACAACATGGTTGTAGATCTGGGGTTGTTCCTTATAGCCATGGTTCTAAGCCGCTTCTTAAGTTACTTCAAGTTGGTTTAACAGCCAAGCACATAGAACGGCAAATCCTCTCCGCCAAAAACAAACTCGCATCCACGCCTGTGCGCAAACAAAATGCGAGCCAAAACTGCGCCCTTGCTGGCGGCCCGGAAGAAATGCACCCAACGCAACCGCATATAACTCCACATTGTTACTTCTTTTGCCAAACGACAAGTGCAACATGCTCATCAATCTGCAACTAGGTCCCAGTAGTGCCCTTTCCCCCCTTTTTGGGGGGAGGGTTCCCCTACTAAACTAGACCACCGGAAAAAAACAAAAAAATCGGGTGCCCTTATTTTAATCTCCCAAATCTGGACCAAAAGCCTAGGACATTCCCATGGGTTTTTTCTTGGGAACTGAAGGGCCGCTTGCTCCGTTTCCCCTGGGCGACATGGCTCGGTTTCGCCGGACTCCGGACCGGTGAGATGCCGTTCAGGAGTCCAGCTGGCCGGGGTCTCCTTAGACGATGCTTGGTTTTGTTGGGTCGACTTAGAAGCTTGGCAGTCTGGGGGGGGGGGGATATTTGTTTATATTGGGTCGACTTAGCGCAAGCTAGCACCTAACAATGGAATTGGGGCGAACAATTCCGTGGTTGGCAACCATCGCATCTGATTTTGAATATGGGGCAATGGCAAGCTGACGCTATCCCTTTGCGCGCTGTTCCCCTCCGTTACCAAGAATTAAGCGTCGGCTTCCCATTGCATTCAGGATTTCAGGTTCCCTCTTTCTCCCAAGGGATCACATCCGAATGGGAGAAGGAGCGCTTTTGTCTTTGCTTTTGGTGTGTGTGTGTGTGTTTCTTTGGGGGTGCTTGTTTTAATCTTGTTTAAAAGGGAAGCCAACAGGCACCCCGCCATTGTTCATAGTTATTGGGGGTTCTTCTTTTGCCAGTGGCGATTCATGAATTTTCATGGGACTCCCCCTTTTGACACCCTATGCGGCTATGAATTTTCATAGGGACCCCCTAAATACTGCTTTGTTGCATTTTGCTTGGATGTTAGACCTTTAACTCTTTTCTTTTTTTTTGCCAACCAACGGGTTTTCCGTATTAAACCACTAAAAGGCAAAAACTGTTCGGGGAGTAGAAAGCAACCGAGACTGGTTGGTGGACGTAGAAATCCCCCCTCCAAGTTGGGCTCAGGCGACGATGGACGGGCTCGATGCCTGGGCACAGGCGGCAGGCTAGGCCCTTGAAATGGGCGGTGTCCCTTTCTTTCCCGAAACAAGCCCCCCAAAAAAATGGGTAGCCTTCAAAAACACGGCATATGCAGGGACCACAAATGGGCGTTTCTTTGAAGCTGTTTTGAGTTTCCCTTTCAAAGGCACCTCAAGGAATGGGTGGTGTGCCTTTCGTAGGGAGAAGGGTCTGACGCAAATCTGTATTGGTCGGTTTGATTGTTGGATCAACTGAAATCGGTCTCGGTGAACCTTACCAGTTTGAAATCGGAGGTTTCTTTGGGGACTCCGCATCATCTGTGCGGTTGACTTGAGTTTTTTTGATCAACCTATTTTGTTGATGCATGGTGGCCGATGTTTTGAGGTTCGATTCATTTGTTTCATTAGATGGTTCATCGGTGGGGCTTAGGGTTTAGGTTGGGCTTCTCGTGAGGGGAGTGGGAGGTGGTGCTCAACCCGCAAAGTTGTTCTGCGAAAGTTGAGGATCGATCAGCTGCAGGCAACACTCTCCCAGGACCATTGAAGTGCTGCAGGCACTTTAGGAGCTTCTCAAAAACCCTGTTTGCCGGTTAACGTCGTCTAAACCGCCTAAAAGATGCAAGATACTACAATAGGGCGCTGTTGTTTGGGTTGATTTAGAGGGAAACCCCGCCATGGTGTGACTTCCATTCCCCCGATGGGATCCAAGCATTGCTTGGAGCAGGTGAGCTGCATCATGCATTTGTATGGGTTTTGTTACACTCCTTGCACACCTGACTTAGTGCCATTGCAGTAACTGTAGATGGGCTGTCCTGCACGCGGCAAAACCAACGGACAGCTGTTCAAAATGACCACTTACGGCACAAGGTCAATCCCCTTTTGGCGCAGGTTTAGCATTGCCTTTGTTTGCTGGTTGCTGCGCATGTCCATTGGATGATGGATAATCTTAAAGAGCATTGTAGCCCCAGTACCTTTTGTATCTCCCCCCTTTTGCAACTCGCAGAGCTTTGCGAAACTGAAAGTATGCTATGAACCTGTGGACACCCAGGTATAGACCCCGGCAAGCTCTTGTTGTCAACCATGTCATCCCCTGCAAATTAACATGGAACCCAAAAGGAGCTAATATAGTTGAAACAAAATAGGAACAAGAGAATCATTTCATTGCCAGTGAGAAAAGAGTTGCAAGTTTGACATGAACGCACTATTCCTTTGAACATGGATGGGTTGTTGCGTGCCAGGCCCATATTCAATGCATGTTAGGGGCGGGATAGTCACAGACAAATGCAACCAACATAACACTTGGTCGCCGGCGGGTTCAATTTGACTCACTCAAAGTTAGTCACTTTCAGCAGGGGATCAGAAAGCGGACAGTCCAGAAAGTAAGTTCCTTCTCTCCTAAAGGCCGATAAAACTTGGCGCAGACGAACCTGGTTTCCCTTCAGAGAACAGCTTGGGGGCGCAAATGCTCGCAAGAACTTGTCCTTCCTCATCTCAGGATTCTCTTGAACAAGAAGCAAGCATCTTGGCTAGGAGATACCCCCTACTCCAAATACCCACCTATTATAGGGTATTGTGGAAAACCTGGTTTTTCAAGGTAAATACCTCCTTTTTTAGTAGAGGGTCGACATGATACCCTAAGAAAAGTGGGTATTTAAAGTCGGGAGTAGGTTTAAGTTTCCTTTCCCTGTTTAAAAGGCACCGAACTCATTCTCGCAGGCGACGTGATGGCCGCCCCTGAGGACGGGAGAAAAGGGGGGGCTGGGAGGGGTCTCAAAAAATACGCTGGATGGACAAAACCGCTTCGCGGCGCTTGGAAACCACAGGAATCCGCGGTTTGTTGGTATTCACGGGGGAGTCGGGTTTCTTGCTTAGGTGCAGGATTTCGTCCATCCACAGTGGGGGACCCCCCCCCCGTTGGTTTCGTTCGGGTTTTCCTGCAGTCCTTGAACCCAAAGTTCGAAAACCGGGTACCCTCAAGACTCCAATCCCCGAGGATGCCCCGAGTTGGTGCTCAGCGACCGGTTGAGGGCACGAAGCGTTTCGCAGGTGCAGTTTTGTCGGGTTTTAGGGTTTGCAACTTAGCACATTGGAATCAAGCGATGCCTTGCTGTCCCCTTGCCCGTTGGACACCGTCTAAGGGGCCCGTTGGCTCGGTAAACTGCATCCACCTGTTCTGAGAGGCGAGTCTTCCCATTGCCAGACTGAGCTAAGGGCAAGCTGGCCCTTAAACTCTTTTGGGTTTCCTTCATGTTTTTCTCAGCAAACAGTTGCATTTTACCATCCCACCAAACAGTGGTACCCTGGAACTCCTGCACTAGATGAAACTGCTGTAAGTGGGGAGAAACCTCTTAACACGTCTCCTTACCGTGTGTTTTTTCCCTCGAAGCAGGGTGTTTTTCCCCTTCCCAGCCTTGCGCTCACTGCGACAGCCTCCTGCGCCAGCTTCGCGACAGCTTGCGAGGAGGGTCTCCAGCTCTGGGCCTCCGAGCGCGGCGGCTCAGCGTCGACGTCGCGGAATCCTACTGGGGTTGCGATGGTTGCGATAAAAAGGCCAGCCGTCCGGTTCAACTTGCTTTTTTTTGTGGTTAGAAGGTGGTTGGGTTTCCATTTAACCCCACAGGTTCAACTTTGAGCAAGGGATCTGAGGACAGCCCAGTTTAGGGGAAGGGGCAGAAACTCCAGCGAACAAGTTTGGTTGGAGCGTTTGGATGGGGTTCAAGTAGTAGATGGGATCCCTCTCGTGTTCGAGGATGTTCACTGGGGCTACGGGATTTTGACCCATGGCTAGGGAGCCTTGTTTCCCATCCCAAATTTTGGGTTCAATTCTCCCGCCGGTCGCACGCTGAGGCCGCTGTGTCTGCGCTGCTGCACGGGGGTGGGGCGGCTGCAAGTCATCGTGATGCGGCCGGGGGCCTTTGAGATCGGCGAAGGTCGAGGGCTTTTCCATCGCCAGCGCGAGGTAGATGAGAAGCTCATCGGTTCTAGGTCCAGTAGTGCCCTTGCTCACCCTTTTTTTTGGGGGAGGGTTCCCCTACTAAAATAGACTACAGAAAAAAGGGTGCCCTTGTTCTAACCTCTCTTGTGAAACTCCAGGGTATCAATGAATCAAGGTCCAGCATTGTTTTTGGCATAGAGCTTTCAGAACTGGACGTACTGTGGATGGTTGCATTCCAAATCCATCCTTTCGCACCACGAAATGAAACCATGGGAATGCCACCAGAACGTTTCTTGGTATACACCGGGGACTCGAATCAGAAACCAGGGTTTCTTGGTGCAGAATTTGGTCCATCCACAGGAAACTGGGGTTGGTCCCCAAAAGCCACCCATGGTTCTAACCAACGTACCAAGTTGTTTTCAGGGCCGAGTTTGGAAGGCTGACATAGCGCGCCAATCTAAGATGCAGAAAGCAGCCCTTTCTGTACCCCCTACTCCAAATACCCACTTATTATAGGGTAGTCTGTGGAAAACCTGGTTTTTCAAGGTAAATACCTCCGTTTTTAGTAGAGGGTCGACATGATATCCTAAAAAGGTGGGTATTTGGAGTCGGGGGTAAGTTGTATATAACCCTTTCCTCGCATACCTGAAAGAGGAGTCTCCTGCATGAATTTGCAGAGCGCGTTTGGCCGAACAGCTCCCGGCATCTTTGGCTCTTCTTCCGTGTTTTGTTTGTTTTTTGTTTAAAGAATATGTTTTATGTCCCCAGTTGGTTTTCAAGGGTCATCTATGACCACTGGAGATATGTTCTCATTTTTTTTGCAGAAAGCGAATCCGAGAACCTTGGGCCCGAAAACTCAAAATCTTTGACCTCAGAGACGCCTGATGTTTGCACTCGCACGCCTCATGTTCAGAGCTTTCGGGAAATCCTCCTGAAGTCTTAAGTAGTGACTTTCAACAAGCATTGCGAGAGTCCCTGTTACTGTAAGTACGCGGCCATGAGCAACATAACGAGTTTTCTTCATGGCAGAAACTGCGGGGGAGAGATCTTGCAAACAGAAATGGGATCGCTCTTGAATGGCGTTTCAAGAGAAACTAAAAGGAAACTAAAGGGAGATTGAAGTTAAAAGGAGAAGCTAAAAGGCAGCCAAAAGGAAGCTAAAAGGACACCATCAACGACCGGTGTGCATGGCGTACACATAGGTGTCCTTTTTAGTTGTTTTGGTCGAAAAATAGATGGCGATTCCTGGTTTACCTGGTGGTTTAATCATCCACCAGGGAAATCCATCATAATCCATCTATTTCCCCTAAAAGGACACCTACTGTGGATGGACGAAATCCGTTTCGCACTACCTAAGAAACCCTGGAAGGATTCGATTCCCCTGTAAATACCAACAAACCATGGCTTCCCATGGACTCAAAGTGGTGCGACATGGATGACTGTCCATCCACAGTATGTCAGCCTCAACACATCCCCCCCCCAACCATGGGATACTCCACCGTTCAAGGGATACTCACATTTCCAGCAGAAGCTTCCATGTCTCTAGAAACCGTTTTGGATGCGCCTTTTGCGGATTTCGCCTATTCTTCCCCCTGTTGGTCCTTTTTTTGTAATATCTTTTAGTAGTCTTTTAACCTTCTACAGGGGTGGAACCACAAAAGCCACATCCAAACCGTTTTCTAGAACCATTCCTTTAAAGGGCTTTACGCTGCGCTCCGAGCCGCGCTCGGAACCGGACCGACTGACCGACTGACCGCGCGAGTAGGTCGCCGTTCCAGCGGCTCCGGGCGCACTTCGATCGTGCTCAGGCGATGGCCCGAGTCGATGGGAGCTGTCGCCTTTACTGAACGGACGGCCCCCCAAGAAAAATAAGAATAATAAAAACATATATACATAAGGACATAAACAAATGTGGTTTTCCTCTTGGTTTTCATTTTAGGGTTTCAAGGGAAACCAAGCAAAGACACGGGTAAAAATGAGGTTCCTACCAAATGAACCCCCCCCCCCCAGTTATTAAGGAGGGGTTTTGCCTGGAAGAAAGGATTCGCCACTGAAAAGGGACTTCCCCCTTAAAACTAAGTGGGGGATGTGTAAATCAGGGGTCAACATGAATTTGTTTAATCTACACTTTTCTCTCATTTTGGCCATTTGGGGTACCCAGGGGTGATTTTGAACCCCGGATGAATGAACGGATCCTACTAGGGGGGGGGGGGTGATCCGGGTTCACGCCTCCCCAATGATGGGAACGTCCCCATCTGGGCTGCTCCAAAATGGAGGCGTGGCCTGTCGAATCCAACTTCTGTCAATCTGTTGAGGCATGGCTGGCTAGGGAAATCGCCACGGAAGCCCTGGCCGTCTTAAGGGATTCACAGATGCCACGCAAACCCGTGCGGTGCAAGCCTCCCTTGGCCAGTTCAAGCACAGAGTCTTTGGGCGCCGAGCTTTTGGTTCAAGGGAAATCCAAAGCGGACTTTGAGAACACCCATACTGTGGATGGACAAAATCCTTTCCACATTGAAACCATCGAAAAACAAAGGTTTGTGGTACTTCCGCGGGAATCATCATTCCAGGGTTCTCAGGTGGTGCAGGATTTTGTCTATCCACAGTATGGCCTGGATTCTGCTTTGGAGGTCCTTTCTTCAAGGGGTGAGGTGTGTTTGAGGTACCCTTTGAGGGTACCCGTTTCACCTTGGTTCCAAGGGAAACAAGAAGGCTGCAGAAGGACGACCGCCATGCCTTTCTCCCCTCCATTTGACACCTACCTACATCACCTTTTGGGTTGCCGTTCAAATCGAGTTCCATTTTGCGAGGTGGTGTCCACAGGAGCAGTATGGGATGTGTGGATGTTGAGGTATGCGAGACTCTGCGTCTGTTCATGAGACCGTTCAAAGACACGATCCTTGGTAGAACAAAAAGGAGGGAATGGGGAGGAACCGCTCTGTCAGTTGGGAGGCGGAACAATACGGACCAGATCTGGCGCAGGTTGTGTGCTTTGATATGTGCGGCATCGCCATGCGGGAATGTCGAGATGTCTTGATGCGTCTTAGGAACATCGCAGCATACCGCAACATGTCACGTGGCATACTTGTGAAGCGGAGACATGTTGCAGACATTCATCATGTTGCGTCTCGAAATGGGCAGTCCTTCCATTGAACATAACTCCCTGCCATTGCGCCAACTCAGGCTGAAATGCAGCTCCCCCAAACGCCGGACAAAGTCCCTACCTCAAATGATGTCCACCAAAGGATCCCGAATTATCCCCCCCCCCCCCCCCCACCCTGTATGGTGGACATAAAATCTTGTTTGCAACCTGCTTAAGGTATTGGTTTTCGGGATCTTGAGTCTGCAACACTTCCATATCTCCCTGCCATTGCGCCAACTCAGGCTGAAATGAAGCTCCCCCAAACGCCGGACAAAGTCCCTACCTCAAATGATGTCCACCAAAGGATCCCGAATTATCACCCCCCCCCACCCTGTATGGTGGACATAAAATCTTGTTTGCAACCTGCTTAAGGTATTGGTTTTCGGGATCTTGAGTCTGCAACATAGAAGCCTAGATGTCCATCCCCCCTACTGCAACATAGACTCTAGATGTCCGCCCCGCCACCCCCCCCTCCCCTCCACCCACCCCCCCCCCCCACACACCCCTCGCAAAGCAAAGGGTGGTGGATTTCGCCTCCACGTCCCGTTTTTCTCCAGTGTTGTGTCGCCTTTGTCATGTTCAAGCCACATCCCCACCACCACCCGGTCCCGTTTGTCTCTCGACTCAGTCGCGGTTTTTCGCTTGGACTCCGCGAATGCCAGATCTCGCGGGGCGGCGCCTGGCTGGACTTCCCAGGCGGCTCCCTGGGCGTGGGCCTTTTTGTTGGAGGTGTCCCCCCTTTTTGTTTGCGGGTTTCGCAGGGACACCAAGGAACAAGCACCATTTTGGTGGGGGTCCCCCCAAAAAGGACACACTATATACCTGGTTCTGGGTAGTAGCGAGTTTTTTTTTTTAGAATCTGTATGGCCATCTTAGCACAAGTTCATTGGTATTGGGCAGCACGCGGGTTTGGGTCAGACATACATGGCAACGACTCCAAACATCAATCCTTATACATGGCTTTTAGTTGTATATATGTCCGTTTCAAACGGACCGTTTGTGCACGCGCGCGGGTGTGTGTGTGTGTGGTGTTCTTTTGGAGGGTATTCGGTTTCCGGCAATGTGCAGCCCTCCTGCCCACTTCCTAAAATGGTTGGAGAGGGGCTGCCCTTTTCCAGTCTGGAGGGAAACGAGCCACCACTTCACTGATGTTGGCATGTTTTATTCTCCTTTTCTTTTTTTTTTGGGGGGGGAGCTCTGTTCATTTTTCTGCTGGGGGAGGCAAAAAAAGCAACATGGGTTGCTACCATACCAAGAGACCTTTCAAATTGGTCTCGGTAGTTCGACGCGCAGGTTTTGCCGGGCTTCGAACAGGGGACACGTCCAAACGGGTCTGGTCCCCTGCAGTGAAAGGCATTGTCCGCGTGAGTTGAACAGAGGAGCTTCCCCAATTTGTGTGCTTTGGTGCATGTTGCCAAGGGATGTTAGGACTGAACAACTTTTTGCCAACTAGCGGGTTTTCCGTATGAAACCACTAAAAGTTAAGCTTTTAGCAGGGGAGCAGAAAGCAGTTGGTGGGGTGCTGTTAGAACGGCACAGGTAAGCAACCCTGTTGTGAGGTTGTGCCGATAGGGAACCACCCCAAAATGTGTAGCTTCATTCCATTGTTGGGCCCTCCAAGGAAGCCAAGTGCATGGCGAATTCTTGTCCTCCCACAAATGGATATGAGCCCTTGTCAAAGAAGGTGCTTTCCATGTGTTTTCTTACAGGAGCTCCCCTCCCCACGCATGTGGGCCGCTGATCGTCCCAAGCTCGGCCCAGAAATTGGAGCGCCCCAAATGGGTGGTGTCCTTTAGGTGAGAGAAGGGTACCGAGCCTCACAAAGCAATACCTCACCTATCGCGAGCTCAGCCAGGGCCCATTACTTCACTTGGTGGCTCCCAGCCATCCCCTTAGCTGTTTAGCCTTTTAGGGTTTAGTGGGCGTTACCGTTTAAGTCACTAGAAGTTAAACTTTTAGCAGGGGATCTGAGGGCAGCACAGTTCAGGATTCTCAGCCGGGTCGAATCATCCTATGACGCCTTCCGAAAAAGACACCCATACTTCGCACCTTAGGATTGACCTGCAAAACAGGCTTTCCGTTTCCCGGAAGAAAGCAACATCACAAAAGAAGCCGTGTTCTCTGAAACATGTGCCCGGGCTCTCGCACTTGCTAGCGACTGGGCAAAACCTTTTTTTGTTTTTGTTCCTGCAAGAGATCGCCTCTGGGTTCTGGACATCTCAGCCAGCTGGACCGGAGCTGACCCGTTGGATGTGGATCTCTGGTCAAAAACAGGTACCCCAAATGGAACCACTTGGACAACCTGCGGTCCATATCCTGGTTGACCCAGAGCCATGTCTCTTTTTGGGTTCCCATTTTGCAGTTTGGGTTTGGGTTCCCATGTTGGGTCCTTTGTTTTTTCGGCCCGCATTTTCAGAGGTTCCAGAAGGTGAATAACTTTTGTTTCCATGCTTGGGCAAATACCCCAAACAATGAGTGGTATAGGAAATACAGGGCAGCAGTCCACGGTCAAAAGGAAACGACAAATGTTGTGGGCCGTCATCTTTTCAGAAACAGCCATCTACCACTTGAAATGCGTTTCACCGTTCCCTCCACAAACGTCCAAAGAGTTTCTGGGTGTTTGCCGGCTGATTATAGATGGTTGATACGTCACTCGGGTGTGCGTGTGCAGTGACCTTTTCCAGGTTGGTTGGTTTGAAGGGAAACCAGAAGGAACGTGACCATATTGGGCGTGTCCAAAGGGAAAGAGAAGGAAAGCCACCATTTTTGGGTTTGTCCTGTGACAAATGCCTCTTTGGGGGTTGTAAGCAGCACAACTGAGGCTAAACAATTTCACACACATTATTCTCCCATAATCACAGGGTATTTGATGCAATACCCCGCCACCCTATTCCAATGTTTTAGGCGCTTGTACCCTGTAAAGCCTCACACTCGGGGATTGTCCGCAAGTCCTCCATTCTACCGATGTGTGTTTTCCCCAAAAATGCAAGACCCACCCAAAATGGCCAGGGGGTTCTTTTTGGTTTCTCTTGAAAACAAACTACCTAGAGTCTCCATGACCCTTTAAACATGGGGTCATTATTTTAAATACTGGGGTCATGGACCTATCTTTAAAGGGTCCTGGAGGCTCCAGGTACCCAAAGGGGTTTTTTCCCCGCAAAATGCAAGACCCACCCAAAATGCCAGGGCCAGGGGTTTCTTTTTGGCTTCTCTTGAAAAAAACGGCCCAAAGGGGGGGAGGTTCTCTACCAACAAAAACGACACCAAGACGTCGGCCTTGAGCCGAGCGAGCCTCAGATGCGTCGAGGCTGGCTGGACTGGTCCTTGGACCAGCTGCGGCGCTCCGCCACACCCACCTGCGCCGCTTCGCTGGCTGGTAGCTGGGCGGCTGTCACCCCCCGAAAGTCTTGACTGCTATTGGCTGGGGTAGACTTGGGATACATTCACATTTTACCAGTGATTCAAAGTGAAGCAAACACTATAGTATACATTCTATATCTGGGCCTAACTCGAATCATGTTGGGTTGGATCTTTAGACTTTAACTTGTTGATTGAAATCAAGTTGGGTTTTCTTTTCTAAACCCCCAAAAAGTTAAAAACTTTTTGCGGGGGGGTCAACAGCAACCAAGAGAAGATAAATGGGTATGGCTTACAACGAAACCACCCGGAATTGGGCCGCAGGTTTGAGTCCTTGTTTCCATTTACCGGAGTTCCGTTTTAGGTACCATTTTTTTGACCCACGCACAAAATGGAGATTTCCTTGCTGAGTCCTTACCAACCCCAAAAGGGGTACCCTCAAAACAAGACCCAAGCAGCTCTTCCTGTAAACCTAAGGTCCAACAACCTTTTGGAACGTTTGAAAGGGAACCGAGGAAGTTAAAAGTTGGAGGGGCCTACAATTTTTGAGAAACACCACACCACAGACAACTTCTTCGTGGTCTTGACAGGCTTCAGCCTGAAAGACATGGTCTTTGGAGAGTCAGTACCTGATGTAAAGAAGGGGGAATTCTAGGACTTGGACCAAAGTTTTTGTTGTTGAGGAGTGAATGTTTGCTGGTGGTTATGCTCCATGATTTCCGCGAAATGAATGCGACCTCAGGGGTGACAGCAGCCAAAGAGAGCTATGTTGCTGCAGGTGTTGCTCATGCTGGCTCTGTGATGCGGGTTCCACAAACTGGTGTGTGTCTTTGGATGAGAGCACTTTTCGGGGTTTAGGGAAGCCAAAAGGAAAGCTTTAATTTTCTTAACGAAGCCCCACTTTGACACATCACAGTGTCAGCAAATCCCTTGTGGGGCCTCTTGTTTTCGGGGCCTTCCAAAGAGCTGGAAGAAGCAGGAAGCATCAGGAAACAGCAGCAAAGAAACATGAAACAGCAAGAAACAAAGCAGCCCTTGAACGTAGAGCTCGCGCTTGCAAGTGGGAGTGACAACGCAGGTGTCAGGGTAAGCTCCGCGAGCACACATTTTTATTGTACACGCTTCGTGCTGCCCGCCTCGGCCAGCATCAGCCAGTTTCGGCTTGCTTTGAAGGAATGGCATTTCGTTGTGGGCGCTCACTTCAAGGACGCTTGCAGGCGCTGTCGGCTCCCTTTGTGCCTCTCTTGTTGCGGGCGATGTTCATGAGCGCTTGCGGACGCTTGTGGGCGCTCCTTCGTGGGGCTTGTGGGCGCATGTGGGCCACAAGGATGGAAGTGTTGCAAGTGTGCATCATGAGTGCTTGCGGGCGCTTCTGGGCAGCACTGTTGCCTCTGTGGGCGTTCCTCTTGGCGGGTGCTTCTAGGCGCATGTGGGGGCTCTTCTTGGGCGCTTTCGGGTGTGCGGCGCATATGGGCGCTCGCCCACGCTCTCTGCTGGGTGCGCTTGTGGGCGCATGTGGGCGGGGTTTCATTGGGTGCTTGTGGGGTGGGGGGTGGGCGGCACTGTTGCAGGCGCTCCCTTCATAATTGCTTGCGGGCACTTGTGGGCGCTCTTGGTGGGCGCTTGTGGGTGGTTGCGGGCGTTCTTCATGAGGCTTGCGGGCGCTTGTGGGCGCTTGTGGGCGGCAGTGTTGCGCTGTTGCGGGCGCCCGCAGCGGTCCATATGGGCGCTTACATTACTGGGGTTCAAACCTTCTTTTCATGGGGGGTTGAACATGTTTACCTCACTCTGAGTGGACTGGCCAAAAAATGCAACCAAAGTTGTCGTTTACAACTAACATGATCTTCCCAAAAGTAACTAAAGTCCAGGAACCCATCAGGGAGTGAGAATCCAAAAAAAAGGGTTCAAATTGCCGCCTGTTAATGTTTACAAGGGCGGCATTCAACGACACCTTCTGGCCCAACAGCTGAGAAAGGCTGCGCAACCCCATAGCCTTTGGCCGCAAGGTTGTTTTATTTCTGGACATCTAGCTGCGCCGCGCATATCTAACCGTCAACCTATTCGGCTCGTCTTGTTGAGGGCCCGCAAGGAGATTTGGTGCTCCTTTTGCTTTCCCTGTCCCTGTCGGTCAAATTCGGTCAGGTCTTGTGTCATTTGCCCAGAACCCAAGCTTCTTGGTGCCACTCGCCTGCCCAATAAGACGCCCGCCCACAAGCGCCCACAACGCTGCCCACAAGCCAGCCACAGACCGGCGCCCACATGCTCACAAGCCCCCAAAACTGCCCACAAGCACAAGGAAGAGCGCAACGGCGCTCCCGGAAGACGCCCGCAACACCGACGCCCACAAGCCAAGGAAGATGCCTGCAACGCCCATAAGCGCCAGCAGGCCCAAACAGCACAAAACTCTCTGCAAGTGCCCGCAAGGAAGAACAGCCGCATCAAAAAACACCGCCCACAACGCCCAGCAAGAACGCCACTCACATGTGAGTATCTGGGAAGCTCAGTTTTAGACCCTTTGGCCGGTTGATGGACAAAGTCTCACGTGTTGGGGTTGGACCATTTTAGTGGTTGTGGCTTTGGACATTTTGCAGAGCTTGTGTGGGCGTTGTTGTGGGCGTTAGTGTGCTCTCTGTCTCTCTCTCTCTCACTGTCTCTCTCTCTCTCTCTCTCTCTGTCTCTCTCCCTCTCTCTCTCCCTCTCTGTCTGGAGTTTGTGGGTGTTAGCGACTCCGGAGGCTTGTTTGTGGATGACCTCCAGCTACTTTTGTGAGTACCCAGGCGCACGTAAAACTTCAGCGCTTTGTGTGTCCGTGCGCGCACACGCTGCGTACGTGAATCAGTGTGCAAGATTCAGCTGGCGGCGGGAAGGGAGAGAGGGAGGGAGGGCGGAGAGGGAGGAAGGGAGGGAGGGGAGGGGTGCGTGTTTGAGTGCGTGTGTGTTTGTGAGTGTGTTTGTGAGTGAGTGAGTGAGTGAGTGAGTGAGTGAGTGAGTGAGTGAGTGAGAGAGAGAGAGAGAGTGAGTGTGTGAGTGGGAGAGAGAGAGAGACAGAGAGAGAGAGAGAGAGTGAGTGAGAGAGTGAGAGAGTGAGAGAGTGCGTGCGTGCGTGCGTTGAGTGCGTGACGGCGTGACTACGTGACTGCGTGACTGCGTGAGCGCGTGAGTGCGTGAGTGCGTGAGTGAGAGAGCGAGTGGGCGAGTGAGCGAGTCAGCGAGTGAGCGAGTGAGCAAGTGAGCGAGTGAGCGCGTGCGTGCTTGTGAGTGTTTGTGAGTGTTTGTGAGTGATTGTGAGTGTTTGTGAGTGATTGTAAGTGTGTGAGTGATTGTGAGTGTTTGTGTGAGTGTTTGTGAGTGTTTGTGAGTGATTGTGAGTGTTTGTGAGCGTTTGTGAGTGTTTGTGTGCTTCTGAGTGCTTGTGGTTGTGAGCACTTTTGCTCTTGCTGGGATTGCGGGCGCTTTTCTGGTGGCTGTGGCTTGGGCTTGTGGGCGCTTGTGGGCGCCCTTGCTGGGCTTCTAAGCGCTTCTGCTGGGCTGTGGGCGCTTTTGCTGGGCTCAGCGCTTTTGCTGGCCTGCTCTTGCTGGGCTTGTGGGCGCTTTTGCTGGGATTGTGGGGCTGGGCGCTTTTGCTGGGCTTGTGGGTTTGTGGCGCCCACATGCCCACGTGCGCCCACACGCGCCCACACGCACTCGCGTCAGCCTGTTTTTTTCTCGTTTTTTGCTGTTTTCGACACACAAGTGCCCAAGTGCCCACAAGCGCCCACACACAAGGCTATGCACTGTTGTGGGCTCCGACACAAGCCCAGCAAAAGCGCCCACAAGCCAAACCCAGAAGCGCCCACAAGCCCACGCCCAAGCGCCCACAAAAGCCCAAGCGCCCACAAAATCCCAAGCGCCCACAAGCGCCCAAGTCTTACAAGCCCGGTAAAAGCGCCCACAAGCCCAGCAAAAGCGCCCACAAGCCCAGCAAAAGCGCTTTGCTTGTGCTGGGCTTGTAAGCGCCTTTGGCTAAGGGATTTTGCTTATGGGCGCTTGTGGGCTTTTGTCGGGCTTGTGGGCGCTTTTGCTGGGCGTGTGGGCGCTTGTGGGCTCTCTTGGGCGTAGGCGCCTTTGCTGCGCTTGTGGGCGCTTTTGCTGGGCTTGTGGGTGCTTGTGCGCTCTTGCTGGTGAGCGGTTTTGCTGCGATTGTGGGCGTGTGTGGGCGGTTGTGGGTGGGCGCTCTTCTTTCTGGGCTTGTGGGCGCTTTTGTGGCGCTTTTGCCGGCGCCCGCATGCGCTCACATGCGCCCACATGCGCCCACATGCGCCCACACCACTCGCGTCAGCCTGTTTTGTCCCGCTCGTTCCCGTTTTTTCCCGCTCGTTCCCGTTTTTTCCCGTTTTTTCCCGCTCGATCCCGTTTTTTCCCGCTCGATCCCGTTTTTTCCCGTTTTTTCCCGCTCGATCCCGTTTTTCTTTCTTTTCGAAGTGCCCAGCGCCCACATGTTTCATCCCTTTAAGATGCACACAAGCCCACAAGCTGCACCGTTGTGGGCTCACTTGCTGTGAGTAGGCCGGCACCTGCAGGTGGCACCCTTTGCTGCGCTTTTGCTGCACTTTTCGGTGGGCGCTTGATGGGCTTTTGCTGGGCTTGTGGGCGCTTTTGCTGGGCTTAGGCTTGTGGGCGTGCTCGGGCGCTTTTGCGGGGCTTGCTGGGTTTGTGAGTGGGCTGGGCTTGTGGGTTGGCGATCTTGTGGGCTTGTGGGTGCTTTTCCTGGCTTGTGGGTTGTGGGCGCTTTTGCCGGGCTTGTGCAGGCGCTTGGGCTTTTGCTGTGCTTGTGGGCGCTTGCAAGCGCGTTTGCTAGCTGAGCCTGTAGAGGCTTGCTGGGCTTGCGTGCGCTTTTGCTGGGCTTGTAGGCGCTTTTGGCGAAGCGCTTTTGCTTACGGGCGCTTGCCGGCGCTCTTGTTGGGCTTGTGGGCGCTTTTGCTGGGCTTTCTGGTCGGTTTTGCTGGGATTGTGGGCGTGTGTGGGCGGTTGTGGGTGGGCGCTCTTGCTGCGCTTGCTGGGCTTGCTGGGCTTGTGGCTCAGCACTTGTGGGTGGGCGCTTTTGCTGGGCTGCTCTTGCTGGGCTTTGCGGGCGCTGTTGCTCGGCTTTGCGGGCGCTGTTGCTGGGATTGTGGGGCTGGCTTGTGGGCGCTTTTGCTGGCTTGTGGGCGCTTGTTGGCGCTTGTGCGCTCTTGGGCGCTTTTGCGTTGCTGGGCTTGTGGGCGCTTTTGCTGGGCTTGTTGGCGCTTTTGCTGGGCTTGGCGCTCTTCTGGGCTTGTGGGTTTCTTGGGCTTGTGGGCGCTTTTCTTGTGGCACATGCGCCGACATGCGCCCACATGCACTTGCGTTGTCCCGCTCGTTTTTTCCCGTTGTTCCTGCCGGGCCGAAGTGCCCACAAGCGCCCACATGTATCCCTTTAAGATGCACACAAGCCCACAGGCTGCACCGTTGTGTGCTGAGCAGGCGGGCGCCTGCACGTGGCACTTTTGCGAGGATTGTGGGTGGGCTTTGCTGGGCTTGTGGGCGCTTTTGCTGGGTGGCACTAACTTAACGCTTGTGGGTGCTCTTTGTGGGCGCTTTTGCTGGCGCTCTTGTGGGCTTGTGGGCGCTTTTTCTGGGCCTGAGGCTCTGGGCGCTCTTTGTAGGCGCTTTTGCTGGGCTTGCGGGCTTGTTGTGCGCGCTTTTGCTGGGCTTGCAGGGCTTGTGGGGGCTGTTGCTAGGCTTGTGGGCGCTTGTGCGCTCCCCTTGGGCTTGTGGGCGCTTGTGCTGGGCTTGCCGCTTTTGCTGGGCTTGGGCGCTTGTGCGCTCTTGCTGGTGGGTGGTTTTGCTGGGCTTGTGGGCGTGTGTGGGCGGCTGTGGGTGGGCGGCTGTGGGTGGGCGCTTGTTGCTGTTGCTTGGGCTTCTTGGCGCTTGTGGGCGCTTGGGCGCTTTTGCTGGGCTCAGCGCTTGTGGGTGGGCGCTTTTGCTGGCCTGCTCTTGCTGGGCTTGTGGGCGCTATTGCTGGGATTGTGGGGCTGGGCTTTGGGCGCTTTTTCTGGCTTGTGGGCGCTTGTTGGCGCTTGCGGGCAGTCAACTGCTTCAAGACGATGAGGGTTCCTCCGGACGATCGGGGCTCTTGCTGGGCTTGTGGGCGCTTTTGCTTTGTTGCTCTTTCTGGGTTTGTGGGCATTGTGGGCGCTTGTGGGCGCTTGTGGGCGCCGGTTTTTGGGGCGCTCTTGCTGGGCTTGGTTGGCGCTCGTTTTGGGGGGCTCGTGGGTGCTCTGTTTGTGGGCGGGGTTGCGGGTGTGGGCTTGTAGCTCTTGGCTTGGTGGGTGGTGTTGCGGGCGCCGCGCTTTTCATGGGCTTGTGGGTGCTAGTGGGCACACGCGGGCTCTCTCTTGGTTTGCTTCCATGTGGGCGCATGTGGGCGCTTGCTTGTGGGCGGAAGTGCTGCGGGCGCTTTGTTGGCGGGCGCGTGAGCGCATGTGGGCGCATGTGGGCGCTTCTGGGCGGATGTGATGAGTGCTTGTGGGCGCTTGTGGGCGCAGGTGCTTTCTTGATGAAGTGTTGTGCTGCGGGTTGTGAACGCATACAAGCGCTTGGAAGAAGTGCCTCTTTGATGGGTGCTTGTGAGCGCACGTGGGCTTGTGGGCGCTTGTGGGCGCCAGTCAGTCTGGGTGGGTCATGAACGCATGCGGGTGGAAGTCTTGGCGGTGTGGGCGGTAGCGTTGCGGGCGCTCCAGTCATGGGTGTATGAGGGCGCATGTGGGGCTGAACTGTTTTTGCGGGCGGTTTGCGCCCTTGTGTGGACGGTTTTAGCTGCCATGGACACTTTCAGTCGCTTTCAGTCGGCGGTGCGGGTACTGGCACTTGCGGTTGCTTCTGGGCGGCGTTTTTGGGGGTCGCCTTCATGCGCATGTGGGCGCTTGTTGGGCGGCAGTGTTTAATGCCTTTCATGGGCGCATGTGTGCGCTTGTGGGCGCTCTTTTGCGGGTCTTGTGGGCGCACGTGGGCGCTTGTGGGTGGAAGTGTTGCGTGCGTTCTCCACGAGTGTGCATGTGGGAGCTTGTGGGCGCTCAGCTTACGTTCGGATGTTTAGATGTTGCAGTCATCAGTACAAGAGTAAATGGCGTCGGCATGTTCTTGAGACGCGCTGAGCCAGCGTCGACTTTGGGCGCTTGGGCAGGGTGTTTTTTTGGTGTTTTTCCTGTGTTTTCAAGTTTTTTTCTGGAGGGCAGAGGGCCCCCACAAGCCAAGGCCCCACATGAAGTTTGCTGGCAGTGATCCGTTTCCAGGTGGCCAAAGAGCAGTGGAACCGCTTTGTGTCAAAAAGATGGCTGAGGTCCCTTGACTGCTAAGCTCCAGAGAGAGAAACCTCGTTGCCAGGGCGAAGCGGCGAAGCGACTCTCGGAAAACTGGGCGCGAGAAAACTGGAGCAAGATCCGAGGTCTACAGCGTGAATCATTCCAACTACGAGTGGTCCGTCTCTGATGCGCCTCGATGGAAGGTTAGTAACTTGGGATTCCGTGGGACGGGAAAAAAAGCACCACGAGAGACCCGTAAAAAGAGGGGATGTGTGATTCCTGGAAGGAGGGTGGACTTGCATCCTCGCCTTTTCAGGCCCCACTGGAACTTGGACCTAGACTTCAGCCAATAGGTGTTGTTTCAGGCCAGTTTGTTTGAAGACGAGGAATGCCACTGCATTCAGTCTAGTCATTTCTAGGCCCATGTTCTTTTTTTTTTTTCAAAGGGACACCTACCGATGAGCCCCTCGACCTTGGGTTGCACAGTCTCTGATCTCGTAGATCCGAGAGATCTTAGGGGACAGGCGATGCCCACCGATCCCCCGCGCTGTGTGCGCCACCCCACTGATATGGTTCCTTCCCTGGGGGGGGGGGGGTTGAGGGACCCCAAATTGAAGGTTTCCTGTTGGCTTTCCACCAAAGAAGGGCGTACCAACTGCAGGAAAAGACGAGCCACCCACGTGTGACATTTCTGAAGAAAAAATCGCCGGCTCCGAGTCAACAAAAAACAGTACCGGGTTCACGGTTCGGCTTCGGCACGGGCGAGTTTGCAGCTCTGTCAAAGTGCGGAGTTTTGCCTCAGAGCCCCGAACAACAGCTTCCATTTGCTGAAATGAATATTTTTATTTGCCCTTGTTGGCTTCAAAGGGAATCTATCACTACTGGACATATCTTTTTCTAGCGGGCTTAAGCAAATGGAAGACAGGGATCGCTCGGGAGGCATGAGCCACTTAAGCTTGGGTAATCTTCCCTGGAACTCTCTGGTGGACATTGGGATTTGATCTTCAACCATTTCTGGGTGATGACCTGCCCTACAAAGACGCAGACATTCGGGTATCCCCCAAAAAGAATCACAGCCTTTTGGGAGATTCGACCTTTCCTGAAGCAGCAGCACCCCAACAGCACATGCCCGCGAGCCTTTTTTTTGCTGGCCGCGGGGACACTGCTGGAACGCCACGAGATACCACTGCGACGCCACTGGACATCGGTACACTGACTTCCTGAGTTCATGAACTTTAAAGTTTTTGGGAAGATCATTTTAGTGGTAAATATAAAGCTTGAACTTTTTTGGGGCCATCCACTCAGCAATTGTGTTACATCACCGAGCCACCACCGACACCAACGGAACACAACCGCCTGATACCACCGGGACATCACAGGTCACACCCCGGACCTTGGCAAAAAATGACGCGGAAACACTTGCCAGGATATAGAGTGTTGGACCGCATAGCTGGCCGCGCCACTCACCTGTAGTCTATATATATATATATATATGTCAACATGCAGGATTCCGATCCTGGCTTGCCATTGAACCAAGCCGAAAAAAGGTACCATCTTGGATGTACACACATCTATGTACATATATGTATGTGTATATATATATATGTATATGTATATATATATATATATATTGATTATATATATATATATACACACTGTATATGCATACGCATTCTGTTTGAGCCCATCCGAACATGTCGAAGCCGCGCCAAGGAGCACCACCTGCGGCCGGCCAGCGGCATCCTCGCCAAGGCAGGCCTGGAGATGAAGGACCTCGAGCCGTCGCTTGGAAGAGACCAGCGACTTGGGGACGGGGGGAAATCGGGTTGGGGTTGGGTTGGTGGGGGGGGGGGGGGCGTTAGGGGGGTTTGTGGGTTTGCGGGGGGGGGGGGGTGAAACGCTGGTAGCGCGTATTGGGCTGCGTAGCACATGGATTGACTCGTAGTTCTGTACATGTTCTGCACTGCAAGCACTTTCAAATGCAAAAGTGCAAAGTTGGCAGGGCTCCTCATTCACACTATTGATGCTATTAACTGACACAAGCAACCGTGTGTAGATGTGATCAACATTGGGCCCTAAGCATGTTTCAATTGTTTTCAACATTTGTGGGCGGAAAGTGATTCCCAAACAGTGGCTTCGAACACACTCGTGGGATCCTCTGAATTTTTGAATGGGCGTCCCCGTGAACTATTGTGCGCGTGTAGGTTGAAGCACGATCTTCGAAGCTGAAAACAGCCCGCTTTCGGTGTTGAACGTATACCAACTTGGGCGAACAGGAAATTTAGAGGCCGGACACGTGCCGGTCCGCTTGTTCTGATGCCCTTGGGTAGGCACGCGTAGCTCAAATACCGACTCAGGGTCAACTGAAGGCAGCATACTCTTATGAGATTCGCTTTGTGGAGTACGCCAAGATGTCTGTCGCTCCCGGACCTGACTTGATGATTCGTGCAATTGAAGATTGGCGTTAATGCCACGGTGCCTAACAGCGTTTTGCACAGATGTCCTGATTGGGATTTGATACGGCAAACGAAGTGAAGCACCGAGCAGCATGTGTCTGGCTCGCGCAAGCGCCGTGTTTACTTGACGTGGTTGACATCAACATGGGCAAATGCCTTGTGTTACACACCATCCATTTGGGCAGGATCATGTAAATTGGAAACTCAAATTTGTGGGCCTGACTTGCTGCGAGCGCTCTTCATGATGTGCCTTTATCCACGCTTGGTGCGAAATGGCCAGTATGACCAAGGTTCCCCATCATACTAAGCCTTTCATTACAGCAGTAGCAAAGCGCGCACACGCACACAAGTCATGAATCAAGGAGGGTCCCATCAAGATCCACAAGCGCTGCTGAATTGTGGACTCCTTCTACTCACCGCGAGGAGGGGTTTTCCGCCTGGCCAATTGAACCTAAAAGCAGCCATGAAACTAGTTGCACATACGAGAATCCGCCCTACGCAAAAGGATGCCCTCCCACCCGCAACCATTAATTCAATGCAGATAGACATGGAAGCCACAAAACATCCGCAGAGGAAGCTCCTCGTCAAAAGTCCTGTTTTGAGTCCCATGTGAAGTTTGCAGGGGAAGTAACCCTAAATCCTAAACCCTAAACCCTAAACCCTACATCCATCCGCTTGCCTTATCAAGCAAATGGAAGTCTGAGCTGCGCCGTTCGCCGAGGCTCGCGCAAGTACCCAGCTGCCGGCAGCCGCCCCAGGGCCCGTGGCCAGCAGAAACCTCTTCACCAACCAAGGAGACCGCCGTTGTCAAGAGGAGACGGGCATGAAACCAGACGAAGCCTCCACAAAGAAACAAGACCCGACATTTCTGAAGTCAGGAAGTCCCCCCGTCCGTCCTTCCAGGCCTTCCAGGGAGCCTGCCAACATACATTGCCGCCTGTCTGTTCTGTTGGTCTACTTGTCTGTTTGCCTGTTGCTGGCAAGACCGCATGCTGCCAGCCCAAGATTTTCAAGCAGAACCAACGCGCCTGGGGTTGTTCCGCGGGAAGGTGCGGCGATCCGGGGGGTGCACCGGTGTTCTACGCGCGAGGAAGCTGGCTATGAGTTTTAATGTGGAACCACCTCAGAAGTGGTTGGTGGAGATGAAGCCCCCACCTAGTTCTTCAGTGATGTCCACCAAAGGGTCCCTGGTTAAAATTCATGCCCTGCTCTTGCACTCAGAATACAAACACACCCCGCAGAGGTTGCTTCTTGCTAAATTGTGGGAAAACCGGACTCACTTGTTGCCCTGGTGCGAGTTTTGCTTTGCCCGCCTTGCCTGGTTTGTCATAGTGGCAAGCGGCAAGCATTGTATCCGAAACGAACGACGTGAAGTTTGGGTCTTCCAACGGGCAAGTGTCTGGGGATCCCAAATTCGCATCGCGTGCGATGTGCATATTGGGTTTCAGGTCGCAGCTGGGCGATGCTTCGCATGAGGCGGGGTTCCACCGCACGACCTGCATGGAATTTCGACCAAGGTGCGGTTCTTTGGATTTCGGGGGCGCGCGCGCACCAAGACCTGAACCAACACCCAAACTCAGGGGGCTCAGACTTGGACCCGGGGTTTCGCTGACATATCACGAGAGCCATTCGAGTTCTTTGGGGGAGCGAACGAAGCCCTTGTTGGGTGGTATCGGTCAACATGTGGACTGAGAACCCAAATACCAAAGCAGGTTTCAGCTGTCACTTGCATGTTGGGCAGTTTTTGGTCGCTTGAATTTCAATGCGGATGATGCAGGTGATGCAGGTGATGCAGTTGGCTTCCGCAGGCCTCTGGCAGTGTGGTCTGCACCTAGAGTCTCCATGACCCTTTAGAAATGGGGTCAATACCCCAAATAATGGGGTCATCGACCTATTTTTAAAGGGTCATGGAAACTCCAGGCAGACACTTTTGATACTTCGCCATCAAGTGCGGGCTTTGGCTCGTCACGGCCATCCATATGCCGGCCAGCTTCAATTGCGGCGAGCGGATTTTTTTTGGATCGGCAGGTGGGATGCACGCCGGCCACGGCGTGATTCTGATGTAGAGCGGGTGTATTCGCCACCACCGCCCGTGGCGGACTTTTCGGTTGGACTCCTCCACAGCGACAGGCCTGTGGACACCTTTGCGCTCGCAAGAACCGAACGCTCGAAGACCTGCAAGATGCCCCAAGCAGATCTACCGGTCTCAGTGCTTCGCCACAACCCTGGCACTTCGAGCAACAGTGATCCCAAACAGATTTTGGCAAGTCGCTCATGCATGTTCAACATTTTAGTTCTGTCCGACTCACACTTGGCATCGGCCCTGGCGACTGCCGTCCGCCAGCCCGGCGTGCGAAGGCGGGCGCGTTGGCTGCTCGCGGGCGTCCGAAGTAGCGAGACGTTACTTAGCCCCCAAAGCCTCTAGCGCTGTGTCGTCAGCTGGTCGAAGTGCGGACAGGACTGACGCCGTGCGTTCAGGGCGTGTTGGCATAGTGGAAACTGCCATTTGTCTTGCTAGTCCCCAAAAGCCGCCTCTCTCAACTGAACCCCGACAGCTTTGCCATGAGGCTGGGTAAGCCGCACTTCGCTTTCAATCCTGTGCCCGCAGCGGTAAGCCTTCAGGAGAATGGCCGCAAAGTATTTTGTGTCGAAGATTCCCCAAAACCACGTTTTAGGGAGGCAAAGATTTATAGGGACGTGTTTTTGGGAGCCAGGGGCAGCAGTGGGGCAGCTCCCAAAAGAAGCGGGCATGCATGAGGGGCTCCGAGTGTCGCAGAGGCAGAGTCAAGGAGGGGGCTTCGAGCAAAATGGGACGCGTCTTGTATCTCTGTATATCTTGGCCTCCCTAAAACGCGTTTTTTGGGGAGCCCCTCCATCCCCTGTCGTTCTGGAAAGAGAACCCTTTGGATATTTTTGGAAGGTTCGTATTGGTCTGGCTCGAGTTTGGTTCTCCCATTCAAGTGCTGCGAGAACTCTTGTTGGCCTTCAGTCTTCTGATCCTTGTCTACCGCCTTCCTGACACTTTGGGGCCGCCGAACTTTGTTACCTGCAAAATCCGAATGCCTCAGAAACAACCGTGCTTGGTTGGTGTACTTCAAGTTAAGGAATCAACCACGAGGCACAGCAAACGTCCCACCCTCCAAACAAAGCACGAACTTGCCATCGTCATCTCATATTTACCATTCTTATTTCAACCACAACTCGCCAGGTTTCGAGAAATCCCACACCTCCCAAGAATTCACCGAATCTTGGATTACTTCCACTTGGTTAAGAATATCTCTTATTTTCCCCTGTTGGTTTTCAAGGGAATCTATCACTACTGGACATATTTTTCTCATTATTTCCAGGGGACATACCCGCAAATGGAGGATTTGGAGAATCCACGGAACCCCCGCTTCGACCGCTTTCCGCCACTTTTAAAACCTCAGGCGCGGCTGGCGCCGCTGCGGCGCACGCCGCTCCTGGCGGTGCTGCGGCTGGAGCGCCGGGGCGCACGGACTGGGATGTTCCCCGCTCGCCCGTTTGGGGCACCTCAAGAATATGTATTGTCTTCCCCTGTTGGTTTCAAAGGGAATCTGTCACTGCTAACATCCTTTATTGCACAGTGGGGAATTCCAACAACAGAAGTAAGTTTTCCCGAGTTTCTTATTGGTCCCGCCCGCCTGCAAATACTACTCATCCAAAAGGAAACTAGACACCCGGATTTAGCACACCCATGGTTGACTTTGATTCAGGAGTGTCCCTTTAGTGGGAATCCGGATAGGGGAACATTTCCTTAGGGTGGTTTTATTCATCCGGCTCAACATTAGGGACTGTAAAAGGCAAACACAAGCTGATGAGTCCATCCCGCAAGCGTTGAAATCGAGCTGTTCTCTCCCTCGGCCAGTTTAGCTCCCAGCTCCGTAACCGCTCCTTTCCAACGGTTTCGCTGAGCAAGGCTTCGATCGCCTTTTTTGGGCTTGAGCGGGTGATAACCCGCTTCACACTTACAACCACGGCTTAGGGTTATAACCAGGTCACTATCCGCTTACCAAGTACAATGCCCCTTTAAGTGGGGCCTTTTTGGGTCAAAGAGAGCTCCCTTCCAACCATCACCTGTGAGATGGACCAAACCCCGCTTCGCAGTTGGGCGGTTGATCCCATTGTTCAGAAAAACATCTCGATTGCCCTGGTAAATGGATGGCATAAAACCCATCTAAACCAGTGGCGTGCCCATCGATTTCTAAGCAAACTACCCGCTCACCAAATGAACAGCCGGAACGTGACAGAGAGGTCCTGGTTTGGACTGTCCTTTTTAAAGGGAAACCCCCTGTCAGCTTCCGGCTGTTCATTGGTGGGAGGCTAACAACAAAACGGCTCTCTTTATCTCTCTTTTGTTCCTTCCTTCTTTCTTTCTTGCTTTCCTTCTTGCTGTCCTTCTTTCCTTCTTTCTGTCTTTCGCTCGTACGTAATTTCTCTCTTTCTCTCGTTCTCTCATATTCTCTCTCTCTCTGCCATAGGCTTTTGACATACCTCAAGTTGGGAAGCACTCCTCTCCAAGGGATTCGTGGATGATCAGGAAACAACTGGGGAGTAAACAGGACCCAGCAAACACTCCCTTGGATGGATGATCAGGAAAACAACTGGGGAGTAAACAGGACCCAGCAAGAGGATTACACTGCCCCAAAGTCCCCATGGATCCCCGCGCGTCTCCATGCAGGGACCAAGGGACCAGCGGCTCCAACAGGTCAGAAGTCACAGGGCTCTGAATCCAAGATACCGCTCTTATCTTCCACTTGCTGCAATGAATATGTTCCATTGTTTCCCTATTTGTGTTTGGGGGAATCCATCTCATAGAATCTGGCCATTTTCCCCCTGTTGGCTCTTTAGTCTTATGGTAAGCCTTTTTTGTTCCAGGGGACTAAGCAAGTGGAAGCTGTTTGGTTTGGCCAGACCAGACCATTTAGGGCAATTTGCAAAGTTTTGATGGGCTTTGCATCTTCCGGGTATTTGTTTGCTTCGCAGATTCTAGGTTTCAAAGTAGTTTGCAGGGAATCCGGTCCTAAAATCTGGGACTCCCGTTGAGCGTATTTTGCATTTTTACGTTCACCTTCAATATGAACCAGAACTGAACATACGAGGTTCGACAATTTGGAGAGGATGAGAAGGGTGACCTACTCAATATGGTTCTCTTTTTTAGGGGAGCCCCCGCCCAAAAAAATCGAAGAGGATTGGCGTTGTGTTTGTTCTGGTTGGCTTCGCTTTAAAACCGCCAAAGCAAAAAAAGACGGGTTTAAGACCGCCATACAAAACGGGGTTCCGAAAAAAAATAAGAAAAATGACAAAAATAATGAAAAAAAGGCAAAAACAGACCCATCTGCGCGGTTTCCTCAGCTTGGGTTTCGGAGCAGCCCAAGCGCGGTCTCAACGCCCAGGCTTGAGCTCCGACATCGAGGTGGCCGCAGGCCTAGATAGGTCAGCTATGTATACATGTATATATTCGTATACACGTAATGCACATGTACGTATATATATATATATATACACATACACGCGAATGTTATATATATATACACATATATATATATATATGTATATAAACGTATGTGCATTGTATACACATGTCGGTGTCGATACATATATCTATATTTGTGTATGTGTGTGTATACATATAATCTTTGTATAAGGATGTGAAGTGTTTCCAGAAAAGGTTTCCTATAGTTTTTTTTGGTGGTGTGGTTGGTAGGTTGGTGTGGTTAGGTGGTTGGTAGGTTGGTAGGCTGGCTGGTGGCTGGCTGGTGGTACCCCTGGGACTTCTGACCTTCCAGTGGACCCCAGGGGCTGATGAGCACCACTGGAAGGGATGATGAAGGGTGGGGGATAATGAAGCCATCAATGACTCCTTGCAATGACTCCTAGCAATGACTCCTAGCAATGACTCCTAGGTCAGACTTTTTGTGTGTATGATCAAAGGAAGTTTAGAAGGTCCCTGAGACAGATGAATTTGCGTGTCCGGAGAACTGAAAGCTAGCCTGTTCGCGGCACCTGGTCGGACCATTGTCGGACCATTGTCGGACCATTGTCGGACCATTCTCGGATCATTCTCGGATCACGTTCGCAGCGCGGGCCCATTGGCACGGCAGCGCGAAGGTTTCGCAAGGTTTGAGTTCCGTGGCAGGCGCAGTACTTTTGCAAGGTGGCACAGATTTCGTGGCAGGCGCAGCACGTTCGCAAGGTCAAGTTTCCCCAAGGATTGAACTGCGTGGCAGGCGCAGCACTTTGGCAAGGTGAGGCACAGATTTCGCGGCAGGCGCAGCACTTTTGCAAGGTCAAGTTTCCCCAAGGGTTGAATTGCGTGGCAGGCGCAGCACTTCCGCAAGGTCAGGCGCAGATTTCGTGGCAGGCGCAGCGCTTTCGCAAGGTCAAGTATAGAGTTCGTGGCAGGCGCAGCACTTTCGAAAGGTCAGGTGCAGATTTCGCGGCAGGCGCGGCACTTTCGCAGGGTCAAGTATAGATTTCGTGGCAGGCGCAGCACTTTCGCAAGGTCAAGTGCCAAATTCGTGGCAGGCGCAGCACTTTCGCAAGGTCAAGTGCAGAATTCGTGGCACGCGCAGCGCTTTCGCAAGGTCAAGCGCCAAATGCGTGGCAGGCGCAGCACTTTCGCAAGGTCAAGTACAGATTTCGTGGCAGGCACAGCGCTCTCGCTCGTTTAAGTACAGATCGATAGATAGATGACTAGATAGATAAACAGAGAGAGAGACAGATAGATGCATAGATGGATAGACAGTTAGATGGATAGAAAGATAGAAAAAGATACAGAAAACAGAGAGATAGACAGCTAGACAGAAAGAAAGAGAGATCGATAGATAGATAGATAGATAGATAGATACATAGATAGATAGAGAGAGAGAGGGATAGATAGATAGATAGATAGATAGATGGAAATATAGATACAAGAATTAAATAGATAGATAGATAGATACATAGATAGAGAGATAGACGGATAGATAGATAGATGAAAGATAGAGAAAATAGAGATAGATAGATAGATACATAGATAGATAGATAGAGAGATAGATAGATAGATAGATAGGCAGATAGATAGATAGATAGATAGATAGATATTTAGAGAGATAGATGGATAGATAGATAGAGAGATAGGGTAGAAAGAGAGAAAGAGATAGATAGCTAGAAAGATAGATAGAAAGATAGATAGAGAAAGAGATAGATGGATAGATAGATAGATAGGTAGAGAGATAGATAGGTACACGAGAGATAGATAGAAAGAAAGAAAGAAAGAAAAGATAGATAGATAGAGGGACAGATAGCTACACGAGAGATAGACAGATAGATAGATAGAGAAAGAGAGAGATAGATAGATACACGAGAGGTAGATGGAGAGAGAGAGAGAGAGAGAAAGAGAGAGAGAGATGGATAGATAGAGAGATAGAGAGATACAGAGAGATAGAAAGAGAGAGAGAGAGAGATAGATAGATAGATAGAAGGATAGATAGAAAGATAGATAGAGAAAGAGATAGATAGATAGATAGATAGATAGATAGGTAGAGAGATAGATAGATACACGAGGGATACATAGAAAGAAAGAAAGAAAGATAGATAGATAGAGGGACAGATGGCTACACGAGAGAAAGAAAGAAAAAAAGAAAGATAGATAGATAGAGGGACAGACAGCTACACGAGAGATAGACAGATAGATAGATGGATAGATACATAGATAGAGAGATAGAGAGGTAGAGAGATAGATAGATTGATAGATCGATAGATAGATAGAGAAGTAGATAGCTAGATAGATAGATAGATAGATAGATAGATAGATAAAGAGATAGATAGGTAGATAGATCAAGAAAAAGAGAGAGATAGATAGATACATTGATAGATAGATGGGTAGATAAATAGATAGATAAAGAGGTATATAGGTAGATAGATAGATACATAGATAGATAGATAGACACATCAAAGAGAGAGATAGATAGATAGATGGATGGATAGGTAGATAGATAAATAGATAGAGAGATAGACAGACAGATAGAAAGATACACAGATAGAAAGATCGATCGATAGATTGATAGATAGAGAAATAGATAGACAGATAGATAGATACATAGATAGATAGATAAAGAAAAAGAGAGAGATAGATAGATAGATCGATATGTAGATGGGTAGATAGATAGATAGATAAACAGGTATATAGGTAGATAGATAAAAGAGACAGATAGATAGATAGATAGATAGACAGATAGATAGATACATAGATAGATAGATAGATAGAAAGATAGATAGATGGAGAGATAGGTAGACAGATAGATAGATAAATAGATGAGATAGCTAGACACAGAAAGAACTATAGATAGATAGATAGATAGATCGATAGAAAGAGAGAGTGATCAAAGGAAGTTTAAAAGGAACTTCCGTGTTACGGCAACTAATTGAAAGCGAGCTCTCTGAGACAAGATGCAAGAGAAGGAGTAAGCCCGCGAGAAAAACTGCGCGCGCGTGTAGCAGGGGAAGAGAAAGTCGTAAAAAGCGTGGCCCTGCGCGTGAATCTGCGTTTTCGAAGATAGGAAAGTCGCAAAAAGCGTGGCCCTGTGCGTGAATTGACGACTCCGGAGTTGCAAAAGCTAGCCTGTCCGCGGTGTCTGGTCGGAGCGGGCTCGGAGCATGCTTGGAGCATGCTCGGATCACGTTCGGCGCCGGGCCCAATGGCACGGCAGCACAGAGGTTTCGCAAGGTTTGAATTGCGTGGCAGGCGCAGCGTTTTGGCAAGGTCGGGTGCAGATTTCGTGGCAGGCGCAGCACTTTCGCAAGGTCAAGTTTTCCCAAGGTTTGAATTGCGTGGCAGGCGCAGCACTTTCGAAAGGTCAGGTGCAGATGTCGTGGCAGGCGCAGCACTTTCGCAAGGTCAAGTATAGATTTCGTGACAGGCGCTGCACTTTCGCAAGGTCAAGTAAAGATTTCGTGGCAGGCGCAGCACTTTCGCAAGGTCAAGTGCCAAGTACGTGGCAGGCGCAGCACTTTCGCAAGGTCAAGTGCATAATTCGTGGCAGGCGCAGCACTTTCGCAGGGTCAAGTGCAGAATTCGTGGCAGGCGCGGCACTTTCGCAAGGTCAAATTCACAATTCGTGGCAGGTGCAGCACTTTCGCAAGGTCAAATGCAGATTTCGTGGCAGGCGCAGCACTTTCGCAAGGTCAAGTGCCAAGTACGTGGCAGGCGCAGCACTTTCGCAAGGTCAAGTGCAGAATTCGTGGCACGCGCAGCACTTTCGCAAGGTCAACTTTCGCAGCCGGGGCTCGAAAATCGCAACTTGTAAGTACGAAAGTAGTACGCGAAGTCCACTTTCGCAGCCGGGGCTCGAGCATCGCAACTCTTAAGCACGAAAGTAGTACGCGAAGTCCACTTTCGCAGCTGGGGCTCGAAAATCGCAACTTTTGTCCACTTTCGCCGCTGGGGCTTGAAAATCGCAACTTTCAAGTACGAAAGTAGTACGTGAAGTGCACTTTCGAAAATCGCAACTTTTAAGTACGAAAGTAGTAGTACGCGAAGTCAACTTTCGCAGCTGGGTCTCCAAAATCGGAACTTTTAAGTAAAGAAGTAGTACGTGAAGTCCACTTCCGCAGCTGGGGCTGGAAAATCGCAACTTTTAAGTACGAAAGTAGTACGTGAAGTCCACTTTCGCAGCCAGGGCTCGAAAATCGCAACTTTTAACTACGAAAGTAGTACGCAAAGTCAACTTTCGGGGCTTGAAAATCGCAACTTTTAAGCGCAGATATGATATAGATGGATAGATAGATCGATAGATAGATAGATAGAAAGAGAGAGAGAGAGAGATAGACAGATAGAAAGAAAGAGAGACAGAGAGATAGATAGATAGCAAGAAAGAGAGATAGGGAGATAGATAGATAGATAGATAGATAGGTAGATACATAGATAGAGATGTGGGAGTCGTTCAAAGGTCCTTGTAAGAAGTTCAGTATTCGGTGACCATCGGTGTTGGCTGAGGTAGCTCCGCGAAAGATTCGCGATGGAGTTGCGAAAGTAACTTTTTTGTTCGCGAAAGTTTTGCGTAGCTGCATCTTGCAAATCAGTAATATGTGAAAACACTCATCTTTTCTGCTGAGTCTTCCTTCTAAGCTGATTAAAACATTTTGTTGTTTGTCCCCTGATGAAGCCTGGCGACGCTACAGTTTGATACCCTGCTTCGCTGGTTAGTGCTCCAGGTGTGCGGGTGTTAGTCGGTGGCTTTAGAAACGTGAGTGATGTTGCGCGAAAGTTCCGCGAAAGATCCGCGAAAGCCCGCGCGAAAGCGCAGGCTTCGATTGCAAGGGGAGGTACTTTCTGAGCGCCGCGCTAGTCAGAGTACTAGCTTGATACTGAAAACTTGCAACTTCAAGCTGGGGCTGCGCGGCTTTCGTGCTGGAACTGCGGAAGCGCATTTCGTG